CTCTGAGCATAGCATTTAAATTAATGATTGGGAAGTGAGTGTAAACAATTTTCAGAATTACAACTGAGAAGGAAAGCACTAGTGAAATACCTGGAGAATTTGTGAAATTTACAGGATGATGGTGTCTCTAAAGTTGTTATGAGATCACCTAATATATTGAACTTAGAGGCTTCCACCTCTAATACCTATCATGAAAATGGAATATGATCACAGCTTTTAAACTTAACTAAATTTGTGTGTTTTGGTGGTATTTCTATATTTTTTTAATCTAAATCTTTTACCTGAAGTTTTCAGGTAAATTATTTTTACATAGCAGGAGGAAGGACACAATTTATAAGGTCACTTTAACTATTTTGCAAAAAAAAAAAAAGAAAAGAAAAACAACACATAAATTTGCTCAATTAAAAGGAAATACTGCCTTAGTTCTTTCTCACTGTCCAAAGAATTATGCTCCCTTTGGCTTCAGAACAATGGGGACTCTTTAAATATTCTTTGACAGATAAAAAAAGGTAAAGATTTATGGCAAAGGAAAGCATTTCTGAAAGAGGTGTTCTGCATTGCCTTTGTGTATGTGCATAAATTATAAACGGGGCTCAAGGGTGCAGTCACTATAATAGCTTTCTGCTCTCTTTGAAGAAAATAGAAAATGCTCACTTAGGGGTTACTCTTGTGTTTCCATTAATGAATCTTCTAAGCTTGAATGATTTTAAATAGGATATTTATGTTCCTTGGTTCTAGTAGGCCAAGAACTTAGAAAAATGTGTGTGATTAAAGTATCTAAAGTAATAAATTTACATGGACATTTAATAAAAAATATTAGTAATAATAATAATAATAAATGTCTCAGCTAAAGACTTTAAGGAGGATTCACAATGAAGGAAAAAAAGCCACAAAATCATATGTTCCTAGAGAATTTGATTAGCCTTCTGTACTCAAGTTTAATAATGATGTTGAAGCTTTGATGAACAACTCTGCACAAGAGTTGTAATCATGACAGACAAGCACCCTTACTTAACCCAAAATGAATGAACTTGGTGTTTTTTTCTTTAACTATTTGGAAAAAATTAATTGAAGTTCAGTGTTTAACAAAGACATATAGACTATGACTTTAAAGTAGTAACACTGTTTTACATAATAGGTTATAAAAGTCTCATTACTTTATACCCTGAAAACACTTACTTGCAAGGTTATCAGTGCCTTTGGTCAGAAATTTACTATTATATTTGGCTTTTTGTTTCTGAAAATATGTTTAGATTAATTCATCAGCAAATCTATATTATTTAATGAGACTTACAAAAATTCTTCAATATCTGAATTTGAAATTATTTACCCACCATCTTTATGTCAGTTTTATTATTTAATTAACCCAGCTAGTATTTTTTCTTTTTTTTAATTTTATTTAAATTCAATTAATTAACATAGAGTGTATTATTAGTTTTGGAGATAAAGTTCAGTGATTCATCTGTCTTATGTAACACCCAGTTCTCATCACATCATGTGCCCTCCTTAATGCCCATCCCCCAGTTACCCCATCCCCCACCTCCCACCCCTCCAGCAAACCTCATTTTTTTCCCTAGAGTTAAGAGTCTCTTACAGTTTGTCTCCCTCTCTGATTTCATCTTGATTTATTTTTCCTTCCTTTCCCCTATGCTCCTCTGTTTTGTTTCTTAAATTCTACATATGAATAGAATTATATGATAATTGTCTTTCTCTGATTGACTTATTTCATTTAGCATAATGCCACGTTGTTGCAAATGGCAAGATTTCATTTTTTTAGGGCTGAGTACTATTCCACATATATGTATATATACCACATCTTCTATATCCATTCATCTGTAGAGGGACATCTGGGCTCTTTCCATAGTTGGCTATTTTGGACGTTGCTGCTATAAACATTGGGGTGCATGTGCCCCTTCGGGTCACTACATTTGTATCTTTGGGGTAAATACCCAGTAGTGCAAATGCTGGGTTATAGGGTAGCTCTATTTTCAACTTTTTGAGGAACCTCCATACTGTTTTCCAGAGTGGCTGCACCAGCTTGCATTCCCACCAACAGTGTAAGAGGGTTCCCCTTTCTCTGCATCCTCACCAACATTTGTTGTTTCCTGACTCATTAATTTTAGCCATTCTGACTGTAAACCCAGCTAGTATTTTAAGACTGCCTGTTCATAGTTCATGATCAGAGTTTATATTTGCACCTGTGTATATTCTGAAGTTTGTCTGGTGGGCTTAGCAGTTCTGAAGATTTTTAGGAGATACATGCTACTTATGGCATAGTATCTTTAGAAAAGTATCTCATAATTATATGTTTTGTTGCATAAAAATGTGTATTAAATATATACTTGACCTCATTGAATAAGAACTGATCTTTCAATGAGTTTCAGAAACATTTAATTCTGTGAGATACGTCAAATCACAAAGCAATCATCATTACTCTCGGAAAGCCAAGCATAACCTAGAACCTATTGAGAATAAGCATTAAATAATGAATAATGATGACTTGTTGCATGCACTAAGTTTTTTCTAGGGATTTCTACATAAAACATTCTGTCTCCCTATTTGAAGCAGGAACTATTGAAACCAATCCATTTGAGAATTACAAACAACATATATTCTCTTTAGCTTTATATCCAACTTTGAAATATATATTTCACATGTTTTCATACACACTGATGTGTATGTATTTCTAAAATTGTTCTTGGGAAAGAAGAGATCTCCAATATGTTTAATATATGCTTTGATGAATTGAACTATAATGTATAGTTTAAAATGTGGTAAGCATTGAACTACCTCTATTCATAATTAATAAGATTGGAAATTTCCTGAAACCTAGATATATGGAAAGTGTCATGTCAGAAAGGAAGACTCCTTTGCTTACCAGAAGAAACAAGCTGAAGGCTTGCTCTTCCTACTTGAGAATAATAGTTACCAAATACAGACCTATGGTGAAGTTTTGTCCTATCCAATTGAAATAAGATAAATTAAGACAGTTATAGTGAATTGTTTTATAAAGTAAACTGTTTCTTCTAACACTTTTCTTCAAACCTATGTTTCCTACTGGTTTTACTTTAAATTGCCATTTTATGAAATGATATTGATATTAGATATATTCGTTATTTTTAATTTCATACTTGGAAAAATTAAAAATTAGTAACCTTGTGTCCATCCCTTTTGGGGAGAAACTGGCTGGTCGGGAAAGTAGAGCAAATATTTAGATGTGCAGATATGCAGAACCTGGAGTGAAAGCATGGGAAGGGGGTTTGGAAGCCAAGACAGAGAGGCTAAAGAAGAAAGAATTGGAATATAGAACAATAGATAGTTTTTAAAAGGAATTTGTAAATTATCCATTGGAAAGGTATGAGGTTAAATTTAGGGGTTCGCTTGTTCATTCAGCCACCATCTCCACACACTGTGGTGGATGCTTTAAGCAGTTTCCCAAATGTGCCTAATCCTAGGAGTCACCCATACTCTTGTCACCCAGATTCTTAACAGGAGGGACTATGGATCTGGAAACATTGAGAAATGCTGTTTTCGAAGATAGAAGATGTGTTAGATTTTGTTACTCTTGAGCAATTTATAATCTATCCTTCTCTCTCTACGCCTCAGTTTTTCTGTCTGCAAAAATGTAAAATAATACTTTTCTTGCCAGTTTTCAAGGTTAATAAGGTAAAAGGAAAATATCTTCAGAGGGTTAGTGGAACTTGTAAATTGACTAATAAGGTTTATGCTTTTGATTGTGTTTTATGTGGGGGATGGTGGTGGCTTTGAGAAAGAAGGACAGAAGTATAATGAATGGATAAAAAAGATGTGTGTATATATATGCAATGGAATATTATTCAGCCACCAAAAAGAATGAAATCTTGCCATTTGCAATGACATGGATGGAGCTAGAGTGTATTATGCTAAGCAAAGCAAGTCAGAGAAAGATAATACCATATGATTCACTCATATGTGGAATTTAAGAAACAAAACAGATGAACATATGGGAAGGGGAGAAAAAAGAGAGGGAAGCAAACTGTAAGAGTTTCTTAACGACAGAGAACAAACAGGGTTGCTGGAGGGAGGTGGGTAGAGGATGGCACTTTTTGTGGGGCACCTGGGTGGCTCAGTCAGGTAAACATCCTTCTCTTGGTCTCAGTTCAGGTCTTGATCTCAGGGTTGTGAGTTCAAGGCCTATGGTGGGCTCCATGCTGGGCATGGAGCCTACTTTAAAAATGGGGAAGGAGAGGGCACTTGTGATGAATCACTAAATTCTCCTGAAACCAATATTACACTATATGTTAACTAACTAGAAATTAAATAAAAAAGAAATTGGAACAAAAAAAAAGAATTTCGGGGGGGGGAAGAATTTTTAAAATAATAATAAAACAACTTTATCTTTTCAAAGTTCTGTTTCCCAAGTTTATTATCTGGGTTTTATTTTTAAAGAGAATGTGAAATATTCCTTGATGTATTTGTTTTTTCTTTTCCTCCAAACCAGCTATTCCTTTCAAATCTTGTATATCAAATCATAAACTGACACCTCCACTAGTTATTGAACCTAACCTCTTGTGTCCCAGGCAAGTGTTATTGACAAGTACCGTGAAGGGCCAAGCACAGCACCGAGTGCCTGAATTCAGAAGTGTTTGCTGAATGAGCCAGCAAACAAATGAATCCCTAAATCTGACACCATCTCTTTCCATATTGTAGACTAAAAATCTTGTGTCTGACTTCTACAGACATTTGGAGAAAAATAGTTCACCGTTCCCTCTGATAGTCTTTTCTAGGTTTTGTTTTATTTTTATCTGCTGACAAAATCCCTATTCAGAAGGCTTTCCCCTTATCTCTACCCTAACTCTCTTATGCTGTAGTTCAGCATGCTTTTGTATTTATATATCTAGGTTATTTATAGTCAAATGAAATAAACAAGTTCTCCTTTGGTAGTAATTTTTGGCTGGGACTAATTTTCATTTCTGTGATAATTAGCTGCTTTCAGTAACTTATTTTTTAAATTCATTTAGCAGCAGCAACAGAAGAACCAGAAGTGATTCCAGACCCAGCCAAGCAGACAGACAGGGTGGTGAAAATAGCAGGAATTAGTGCTGGCATTCTGGTGTTCATCCTTCTCCTCCTAGTTGTCATACTAATTGTAAAAAAAAGGTAAGAACTAACTTTGTTCTGTCCCATTCACCTACCATTTATGTCACTAGTTTTCAAATACTGTTTTGTTTCCTTGAGCTCTTTTGAAATAGAACAAACAAGAAGAATTGAATTTTGACAGTGTTGCCAGCATCTGAGTCTATTTCTCATGACTTTTAAGTAAATTCCTATCGGTTCTTTGCCGTTTAATTTTGGATATAAACGTATGCTTTTTGTCAAGTTAACTTTGAAAGTAATGTATGAATTTAAATTTCTCAAATGCAGAGACACTTGAGATATTCATTTATCTTTTATTTTGAAATGTTATTTACTAATAATGGCAAAAGTATTTATTATGATACTTGGATTATGGTCTGTGAATTAGTTTGTGCTCTTACTCTGTTTTTCTAAATGTTGACTACAAGTAAGATATGAGAAGAATCTAAATATTATTTTGTGAAATTGTATATTAAATATTCACTGACTAAATATTTCAGCACATTAATATGAAGAGTCTTTTTGTTTTTTAATTGAGCGTTGGTCTTTTATACAATATCAACCAATATCGCCATCTTCTGGAATTCTATGAAGATATTAAGACCTAGGAATTGAAACTGAACTCTACTCAGGAGATTAAAGTATACTCTGCTGAAAAACATTTTGAAGTATACAGTCTGTATAACTTGAACTTCTTTCCATTCTATAAAATGTCATTATCTAAAAGGCGTTATCTTAGAAACTGATAGAACTCTCTTATCCTTCCAATCATATGTTTTAGATTATAGTGCAGTTTAGAAAGACTTTTAAACAAGTCTTTACATGCAGAGTACAGTCCTAAAATAGCTTTTTGTATAGAAGTGTTTAAAATTTATGATTATATCAAATATTAAATGATGTTGCTTACATTACATTAAATCATATACTATTAGGATTGTTTTATACTCAAAATAAATCATTAACAATATAGATAAGACTCATACTACATGTTTAATCATTCCATCAGAGTTTATTTTAATGTATTGCCTCTTTACAATTATCCCCTGGAGATATATATGTTGGAGAAGACACATCTGCATTAGAAACATTAGGTATGCATTATAGTGTTTTGTGTTAAATTAGCTACTTACGTGCTTTCCCTTATAGTGCTTTCTCTTTTTGCTGTTGTCTACCTCTGTGGTTGGAGAATACATCATAATTGAGATAGGAAGTTTTAAGTATTTTAGAAATACGAATTTGCCAATTAAGATAAATAAAATGGCTGATTGTAACCTTTTAGATCTTATGTCTCTATTTAGTTTAAATTTATATTTGCAGAGTTAACTAAACTGTTTAGAGAGTTAACTAAACTTTGCTTCACAATTATAAAACTATTCCAGTCCCTTCAGATTGGAAATGAGAGCATGAAATTGGCCTCTGATTATGTCCTCACTCAGTTAGAATTGGGTTAAACTTATTGATTTTATTTGTTATTTATTCAACGCTTATTTGTTATTGTAGCCTTCCTTATCCATGGCCCTCTGTTTCAGAAATAACAAAAAAAAAAAAAAGGAAACATAAATTACCTAAAGTAAACCAAAATAATCTCTAAGCATGATTATTTTTGTGTGGGTAAAATGCTCTGACAACTGTCTAAAATTGCATAATGTACAAATTCTTTTTCTGGTTCATATTTTAAATGGTTGGCCTCTCTATTAGAATGCTCAATGTTTGACTTTTCATAATTATGCATTAATTGATTATCTTTTGGTAGAAAGTATTCCAGGGCTTTTGTTTCTCTTCCTCACCACAACCTTTATGACTAAGAAAAGTTGCAATTTTATAGATAGAGAAAGTTACATATTTAGATATACTTCTTTCCATTATATAATACTAGAACTAAATTACATGAATCCCTTATCTAAGCAATTTTGTAATGACTTCTACTCATATGTAGTATGTCTCACATATATCGTGTATGATTTAATAACAAATATGTTTATTATACATACACAAAGGCATAGATTTTATAACCGTATTGCATAGTATCAAGCTTAATCAATTTTAGTATATAATGTTTCCCTTTTAATACACAAATTTATAACAAAAATAATGTAAAAGCAAACTATTTTAGTCTCTTACGGTCTTTGTTTTTATGGGAAATTAAGTTTCTCAAGACTTTATCCCTCATTGGGAATAATATACATAGGTATATTTCTCATGTTGAAAAATGTTCTATGCATTTTTGAGTTTTGTGTAAAGATATGGTTTGGAATTCAATTTAGTAAAATTCTACAGCTGAGGGTATATATAAAGTAAGTTTTTAGGCTAAGAAAAGGGATAGTGCATCTCTCAAAACGCAGTGTCATTTTTTTTTTTTAATTTAAACGCTGTTGAATTATTTCCAAATGTATGCCATTTTTTCATTGGTTATGTATTATATTTTAAATGTGCAGCATGAATACATTATTAATTCCCAACATAAATTTGAAATTATGTTTCAATACAGTAAATGTTTGTGTATGATATCATGATCACATACATCTACTGTGGAAATACCTCCGTGTATTTATAGTGCATGGGGCATATGTATATTCACACAATATATGTATGTACCTCTGTGCCATTAAGATATAACTATTTGTTTAGAAATTTAGATGTCACTCTGCATATATTCTATATTAACTTAATAGATATTTATGTTTTGTATCTAAAGAAAAATAGTCAATTTAGTGTAAAAGTTCTATACACAGCAGTTCCATCTGTCATGGCTTTTCGATGGTAATGGATAATATTATGCTTAACTGCATGTTGAAATACACAATCCATTTAATTTTTAAATTTTTCTGGCAGCAAGAGAAATACCAGCATGCTGTTTTCCAAATTATGTATTTTAAATTTTATTTTTCTGTTGCATATCTGTCTAATTGCATGGCAAAAAAATATCTAACCAAATGCATGAGCAAATTGAAATGCAAACCAAAAAAAACATGACTTTTATTTTATTTTACTTTACTTTACTTTATTTTTTAACGCACATTTTTCTGCTTTATTGAATGTGACAGAGTCACGCTTTTCATTCACCATTGCTTCTCTTTTTCCACTGTCTGTGATTTGCTTGCCAGGAGGAGCTACTATTCTTACTCCTACTACCTGTAAGTAGAAAACGGGTGATATACAACTTTACATGTGTTAAAGATGCAGTATCCCTTTTCAAAAAACAAGAACAAAAAAATTTAAAAATGTTTGTGATTTTGGTGTTATTTTCTGGACTCTAAAAAAAAAAGTTTAACCATTAACTTACTTTGTTAATCTTTTTAAAAAGGGATATTGTATTTCTGTATGTTCAGCTACTTTTAATTTTATTTATAATTTTCCATTAGTAGCTTTAGACTACACCCCAAAACATCATTTATTTACTTAAGTCAAACCTGTAACTTATAAACATGATACCTCATACCACAGATCAGGTCAGGTCTAACTGTGATAACGTCTTTCTCCACATTTCCAGGAATCCAGGACAGGTTATCACTTCAGAACACCTTTGGTCTGGCCATCTAGGCAAGCAGTATGCTCTTATGAAAACAAATGGATAAAATGATAATGTTGCAGTGACAAAGAAACAAAAAAATCTTTTTAGAAAAGAAAAATTGAGTTAATTTATTATAACTTAAACAGGACAATGATTTTGTAAAGCCAAGACCAAAAAGAATGCTGTGATCCTACACAAAACACACCTAGGTGTCCTTCTTTTCTCTTCCAAACAGTTAGCTCACCCTATACGTAGGTATGGAATGTTAGTTTGAATAAGGACAGAGAATATTGTTCCCTCTATTTCTCTAGTCATCTTGAGTTTATTACCTTAGATGCCGGGGTATTCATCCAATCCAAAAGAATGATAGCAAAAAACGTTCCTGGACATTGCTTGATCAGTTTTGATTCACCAACTTTTAAAGCTTAAGGATTGTGATTAAGTATGTTTGGGGGCATTTATCCCACAGTATTTAATTTACAAGGTAAATTTAAGCTAGCTTTACAATAAAATTTGGTAAGAGTCTCAATGACTGTAACAGGTCTGCCAATATTTTAAATATTATAAACGCTGGCTTCTTAAAATCTGCTAAAACAAGCAATTGTAAACTAACAGTGCTCTTAGCTTATTGTGATGAATCATAATATCCTTGTTAAATCATGTTTGATGAAGCCAAAGATAATTAACTGTACCATTTCATACAATTATGGAACACTTTTCCTCTTTATAGCCCACCCATATATCCACCTGCAGAAGTTTATGCTGTTGGCTGCTTTGATAATGAAAGTCATTTACACATCTGTCAAACTCAAGTAGTTGCAAAATAAATTGCTAACTGTCCTGAAGTGTACCATATATACATACATTATATATATCCACATATACATGTGCGTGTGTATGTGTGTGTGTGTGTGTATATATATATATATATATATATATATATCTGTATATATATATATTGCTGGTTGCTCAGAGAGAGAAAAAGCATCAAACATGTAGGAATCAATAAGTATGTATAAGAATGTCAGTAAGCTTACCATTAACCATTGATGCACCTGTAATGTTAGAATGGGATTGCTTTCTTAGTGGATGGATAACATTTCTTTATTCTAGGCTATATAGTAGGTTATGATACTGTTACTGTAATACTTAGGGCTATTAGCATTATTAATCATAATTTCAAAAGAATGTCACAGATAAATGATTTTTAAAGCTTCCTTAAACATATCTAATCTAAATCTAAACATATCTAATCTAAACATACCTAACCTGAATTGGAGATTTTTTAATAAAAGTAAATAAATAAAATTTAAAAGAAAACCAATTGTGATCTTTGAGCTAATGTTCATTGGCATTGTCATAGTGACCGTCACTCATGATCAAAACACTTAACCCTAATGTTAATTTTTATTCTGTAATAACCTGAATTAAAGCCTACCTCACAGGGTTGTTGTGAGGGTTAAGGTATAAAAACCAAGTTGATGGCTGGCAAATAGTAACAAAGGTTATAACTCCCCCCATAATTTGTCATCTAGCAAAGGTTTGTGAATCTTAAAAGTCTTTCATTGCCATGAAAACTTTATCAGCCATACATTTGACAAGTTAATTGCTTCTTATTTTTCCTTAATCACAAAATATACATATAAATTATATATGTTTTAAAGTAAAGCCTCAGAGTTTAAACCTGTCTTTTCTAAATGCTTTGAACTGCCCATCCTCAAAATTTTAACAGTATTTTTAATCCACATTTCAAGTTGTGTTATTTTTATCCAGTTCAATCTCAGATTTTTTGAGGGATGAATTCATTCTTCTTGCCCAAGAAACAAAGATTGGAAGCTATTTCTTAAATTTTTTTTTTACTCTTTTAACACTTTCAAGGGGCAAAACATTTGTGCTGTATTCACATTCTTTTTCTCAAATTTATAACAACTAATGTTTAATTCCTAGATGCTTCATATTATGTACTTATGTAATGTGGCATTTTAAAAAAATGTCAGCAACTGGGTATAGTGTAACAGTTTAGGCTCAGAACCAGGTCATTCTTCACTTATTGTTAAATAAATAGTCTTGGGCAAGTTATTTAAATTGTCTGAGCCTCAATGAACTCATCTATACAATTAGAATCCTCATGCCTTTTTCAGTGGGGTGATCTGAGAATTAATTGAATTAACAAGTGAAAAGTGTGATGCATATAACAGGCCTAATTCATCCATTCAACAAGTATTTATTGAGTGCCTGCTATGTGCCAGAGATGCTCTAAGTGCTCGAAGTAATGGTCCTTCTCTCCGTGGAACACACAACGGGGAAACAGAAGGATATTTGCACTGATACATGGTAAGGATTGTTATAGGCAGAAAACATGGTGCTATAAAAATACCTAGCAGGGGAGCACCTGGGTTACTCAGTTGGTTAAGCGTCCGACTCCTGACAGCTCAAGTCTTGATCTCAGGGTTGTAAATTCAAGCCCTGTGTTGGGCTCCATGCCTAGCTTTCAAAAACAAACAAACAAACAAACAAACAAACAAACAAACAAAAAGCTACCTAGCAGGGAAACTAACCTGAGGTGGGTTGTATTGGGATCCGAGAAGCCTCCTGATGCAGTGAGACAGAATGGAAGCTAACCAGATATTGGAGAGAGAGGAACAATGTAGGTCAAAGAACAAATACCTTATATGATGGTCTAGAGGTAAGTTTGGAAAGTAAAGTCTATAGACTAAAATATGACCTGCTGATGTTTAATTTGCCCCATAGCTGGTTTCAAAAAATAGATCAACTTGAAAAAATTAAAAAATCAGGAAATTTAACATAATATTCAGATTCATGACTTGTCTTTAAAAATAATTTTTAAAATCAGAAGCTCAACACTGGGCTCAAATGCCAGTAGTCACTTAGGCCAGGTTGCCCCCAAAATGGCTTTCCAGTTCTCCACCATCCCCATCCTTCCATACAGTGTCTTAGCACTGGCAGCAGGAGTCATCTGTGTTCCCTCTCTGAAATCGGTAAGATTTTTGCAGGTTTTTAACATTCACCTTAGCCTAGAAAAAAGAGATAATAACCCTTTCAATGAATACAGCAAATATTCCTAATAAATGATGGTGGTAGTGGGCATGGTAGGGATGGTGGTGGTGGTAGTTCTTGTTATACTTTTGTCATTTGTTATCTTACTACTAGTACTGTCATTACCGTTATTATTATTTCTTTAAAAAAATTAATGCCATTTGCATCCTAAAGCTTAGTTTCTGACTATCTTATTTAAGTGTCAAATCTGTTGTATCACTCTATTGGATATTTTGGGTATGTACCCCTTGAGGCCAAGTACTGTTATTCTCAGGAAGGAAAATCCGGAGGAGCTCTCATATTGCCACATTAGTTTTGTAAAAGAAAGGCCCTTGGACACAAACACAACCATTAAATGAGCCTTTAAAAAATATTTGTAGTATATTTACTCTAGTACAGATACTAATGAGAATCAGAAGAATATGTCCTAGTTAATGTATAGCTAAGAATCATTATTCTTCAGACAACTGAGGAATAATTCCAAGGCAGCATAAACTGCTGCCGTAAACATAATCTGCTGCTACAGGCTTTTCGAATGCCTTTATTTATATTATACATAAATTGCTTTGTTAATGTGATATAAATGTTTTATATACCCTTAATAGTTTTTTATTGCATGTTTTATGTGTAACATTCACAAAGAACCAGAATGTGTTTCACATCCTTGATATATGAGATAAAGATGTGAATATTTGAGTAGCTCAAAAGTCTCACTCTACTAATTTCTGAATCCCCTCAGTTATTTGCCCTGCTGCACTTATAAGGCAGTTCTTCAGTTAAAATTCTGCCATGTGGTTCTAAAACACATTTTTAGGATGTAAAAATGGCTATAACTCAAGATTATGATCATTTGTATAATATGTCAACATTATATTTTCCAAACTTTTCTCAGGGTGCTTTTCTTACACGGTATATAATTTTTCCATATATATGTGTATTTGCATTAAATCTAGCAGTGGTAAATTCTGCAACTCTCCAGATTAAGTTGGGATTAATGTTATAAATATGCTGCTAAATATGTTAATGCTACACATGTTGCATTTTTACTGAATAATAAAACAGAGAATGAAGAATGGGATTTCTTTGTGCATTTTAATTGGGTGACTCTAGTAAAATAAACTTTAAAAACTAGTCATGCTATTCCCCAGAAGAACTTCTAAAAGGTAATCAAAAGAATTAATTACCTGAAAACCAAAACTTAGCTTACATTTTCCTTGAACAATTTTACTAAGGAAGTATTTATTTATGGCTTTAATAAAGCACAGTTATAATTTATGACTTTTAATGATACAAGAAATGAAAGGCTTCAGTTGACTGCTTGAATGTTGAAATATCCATATGACAAATAGTTTTATAGCTACCAGCAGATGTTGTGTGAATATACAACCTAATTCCTGAAATTAGGAAACTTAGAGATTCCAAACTACGTCTATATGTATTCTTATCCTTGGGCTTTCTTGAACTGCTTACTGCTAGTGTCACCTCTCCTTCAGGCCTCACACTAAGGTTTCCCATTTGTATTTGCCTTGGCAGCAAGCTTGCTAAAAAACGCAAAGACGCCATGGGGAACACCCGGCAGGAGATGACTCACATGGTGAATGCTATGGACCGAAGTTATGCTGATCAGAGCACTCTGCATGCAGAAGACCCTCTTTCCATCACCTTCATGGACCAGCATAATTTCAGTCCAAGATGTAAGTTCTTCATTAAAATTTTAATAAATGATTTTGAAGCCCTTTAAATCACTTTGAATTCAACACACTACCTTTGAATAGTGGGAAAAAGTAAAACAGAAATGGACAAAGCAGCCAGAAAGAGAAAAAGTCATAGGGAATATTATAGAATTTTTAAGAGCACTGGTTTTCAGTCTTGATGCTGGATTTAGTTTAACTGCAAACTGTATGACTTTTATTACTGTATCATAAAAGATAGTCACATACTACCTAACACCAAATCATATGTTATTGCTCTAAGTTGAAATACTTGATTGCCTACATAAAATTAGTTCACTTCAGAATTTATTTATAATTATTTTGCCATTTGAGTCTTCTTTTGTGTAAGGTAAAGTTCCCTTAGAACTTTAACATCATAATTCTTTCTGGGAATTATTGGCATGGGTGAAATTTTTCTATTATTCTACAAAGACTCCTGGAGAATTTCAGTAATAAAACATTAACTAGGGGAAAGAAGAGACTACATGCTCCTAAGTATCTGATGTGCAATCCAAAAATTTACTTGAACTGGAGGATTGGCAGGGAATGGTAAAAATCCGTCCATCCATCCATCTGTTCATCCATATTAAAAATTCCTAATGTTGATCTATAAAGGCAGGACTTCTAAAACATTTACACTGAAGTACTACCTCATGGCAGTTGATTTGAATAATTGCCCCACAATCAATATTACTGTTTATCTTCAGATTTCCTATGAATTTTATATTCTGTTCTATAGCACTGTGCTTATTTTGGTACTTAAATTTTAAGTAAAATTACCTGACTGTTTTTTTCAAATCCTCATGTAAAAGTGATGCATGAGGGAGGCAAGTCATGTTTATCCCTGGCCATGTATACACAGAGGTCTTCTTAGATTCCAGAGATTTGCTTACTCCAGTTTGAAACATGTATCTAAAGGAAAGCAAACAAAAGAAGTATTATTTCCTATACAGATTATATACACATGGAGTGGTGAGGTTGAGAAAATAAAGTATTTGTAGGTTGTGTGTATTTATGTCTTTTCAGAAAGGGAAGGTTTTTTTCCTGCAGTGTTTAGCTTGGTGAAAATTTTCAGTAATTACTGGCCCTAAAAGCAGCCCATCATTTTCCTTGATATATATTGACACCAAATTAATAGCTATAACTATGCTGTATGAGTCATTTTGGAATTTAATTTTAATCATGATGGGCCTTTTTCATCTCTTTTACTTCTATTTCACTGTAAGATAAATGATAGAGAAAAACATAAAGTACTATTTTTGTCAAAAATAAGTTTTGCTGAAAATATAGGTGTACCATCTCTCTAACCACTTGATTTAATAATTAAAAGGGGTTTGAAAGCATGTTTGTTCCCTAAACTTTTCTACCTATTGCCTATGCTGGTACTTTATTAGGAAGCTTGAATTCAGCAGTGTAACAAACTACAGATACCCACTTACGAATTTGGAAAAAGGATTAACTCTATTTCTTACGGTTAGCTGAAAAAAAATTATTTGGAATGAATATGAGATAATTATTTCTCTAAGTACCTTGCACTTGATAGATCTAAATGGGTCTCCCCCCCACCACCATTTTGTAATCTTTATAATGTCACGTTGAATCTTCCTGGCTTTTAAAAATTGAACAGAATACTGAACTTTAATTATAGACACACCTTTCCTGGTGTTTTGAGATAACCCAAGCTGAAAAAGAATTTTACCTTTGCAGGTTATAATAATCAAAGTTGAATAGTTTTATTTCTTAAGAAAGCATAAACCTATTTTAAAGGAAAAATGTAAAATACAACTTTAGGGCAATATATTCCTTCATGAGCTCTGTTTTCCTGCAGTGCCCAATGATCCACTTGTGCCGACTGCTGTGTTAGGTGAGGCCCTAATTCTTTATCATTCTTTCTTGCATGGATCACACATCCTTGCATGAGTCACAGCTTTGTCTATACAGTAATTATTTACAGTGTAGGAAGCAGCTTGATTTTGAAAATTAAGTCATGATCTTATCAAAGAGAGCAACTGTCGTCAAACCAATCAGATCTAATGGATTTGAAATTAGCAAAATGCCTTTTTTAAAGCAACATATTTTTAACGTCTTGGTTCTGTTAGATTTGGAGCAAAAGTACAATGGCCCATAGTATGTGACTAACGTTTACATATGCAGGTTAGCAGAATGAACCCAAATGCGCACATCTCAGGGGCCAGGGCCACCTGAGTGATTAATCTATATATAAAAATCTACTTGATGGAAAGATTTTTCTCAATCCTCCTAAGTTTATAGCAACTAAAGAACACATTTCCAAGGAAACATTAAGAATGTGTGCATTTGCTTTAATTTTGTCTTTATTAAGAATTTATAAATGCAGGCAAAGTAACTACAATATTGATGTGGAGTTCTGCATTCTATATGCATCTTACATGATGTGTTATCCTTCAAGAAATCTAGAATAAGCCAAGGTTTACCTCTATACAACATGTAAGACAAATGGTATTGCTAGTGATGAATAAGGCCTTTTCAAATGTGAAATTAATGTTCAACTGTATATTTAAGAATGGAATGAGTTTCATTTTAATTTGTACTCTGTTCCTTGACTAATTACACACCAATGATTTTTGACCAGCTTGCTTATATGTTAAGAAGTTCTATATATCAGTTTTACCCCCATGTTTCTAATATTTAAGATTTAATCAAAGAAATAATGAAAATTGCCAGATAAATATATCTTAAAAGTTCCCAATTCTCTCATTAAATATAAAAATCCAAATTTCTTGTGAACCTAATACCTTATCTTACATTTTATGCATGATTTTATTATCTGTGTATTCAACATTTAAATACATTTTTAAAATACTTGGGAGTAATACAACTAATTCAGTTAAGTGAAACATACCTCTTTTTTACTAAAATAATTATAAATAATTTTATAACATAGAGAATATATCCTCTGAAAAACTCTGGAAGTCAATGTTGTCTTTCTCTGATTATACTCTCCTTTTGATGTCCACACCAATAATGACAGGGAAGTAAACCGGGGAATTCGTCCCAATGGGTAGGCCAGTCGTGTAGGGAGGAGCCAGAATCATGATCATTGGGATGGCACCAAATACCTCTGAAAATGTCATCTTCTGTTAAGCAGAATGCTGCAGAATGCTGTCACCATCAAATTAATAAATAAAATTCAATTAAAATATTAAAAACTCACTGAGGAAAAATTAGTTACCTAAATGTTAAAATTTCATTATAGTAATATTCTAAGAAAATGTTGAATTGGGTCCAAGTCTCAGTTCTCCTGGGGACTCAACAGTATGAACCCATGGAAGTGCCTTATGTCTTTTCTTTCCCATCTGTAGACTTTTTCACAGTTTTGTAAGGAAAAAATGAAATAGTATATGTGAGCTTTATAAACTGTAATGTTCAAAAGATTATTGTAAGAATTTCCCCTGTGGAAACAGATATTTATGTTTAAGGAAGGCTAGAATTAACACAACAGCCATAAAGTCTATCCATAGAAGCAGTTGTTACGCATTTTATTTCATTTTGAAAGTCAAGCTGGTTGGTTTTTTTAAAAAATATATTCTTTAAAAGCTAAATCTCATTAATCATATCAGATGTAGAAACGGTTTGTTGCGTTTTTCATCATTCTTAGAATCATAGTGTTTATGGTTACTTTGCATCCACTTGATTTAGTATTTGTAAAGCAATTTTTGAAATCACTTCAAATATTGCTTGATATTAATACCTACATACTGATCTTAAAAGCGCTTCAAAACTTTTCATATTGATTCATATTTTTGTTTTTTTGTGTTTTACTGCTTCATTGGGTTAAAGTCCCTATAACTGGTAAGTGCATTGCAAAGAATTCTAGAAAACCTTTCCATCAAGGAAATATTCAAAGTTATTATTCTTAAATGTGTAATAAGGATAATGATTAGAACATGTACTCTCCCTACTAGTGACATTATTAGGTGGTGTTATGAGGTGGAAATGTATTGAGATTAATAATTCATATGTGATTATTTTAATGAATACTGCTCTTTGTATTACTGTGTTAAAGCTTAATGCAAAACAAAAAACACTGTCTATTTCATATTGGACATACCGTGTAAGATTTGGAATATGGGTGAATTCTTTGTTTCTCACTGAGCCTTTTATAATTGTAAATATTCTGCTGCTCCAGCAGGTATGGTATGAGCTCTGGCCCTGTTCCACAGAGCCTGGGCTACCGTATTCCAGCTTGGGTGATTGCATTTTGCCTCTCTGACATTATCTGTCCTCTTTACTTCTCATCCTAAGTTGTATATTCTGTGACAGTGCCCAAATCAGTGGCTTCTCAATTGAATTTTTACATTAACCTTTATGTCAATCTATTGACTGTAATATTTTAGCAAAGGTAAATCAGTTGAGTGTAGTCTCATAGGAAGTAAAGGAAACTCATGAATCATGTTTGCTAGCAAATGTTGGTGTGTAGAGGGGGTGGGCAAAACCTGAGTTGGGTGGTTAGGTCACAACAGAATCTACCAGGGGTTTTTTGGATTCAGTGCGATATTTTTAGAAATAAATGCAAAAAGAAAAGGGGAAAAAAAAGCATTCACCCTAATAAGGGAAAGTAAAATAAATGCAATCAAACTAAATTATAGACACACACAAATCTGATTGTGGGGTTCTTTTTTTTTTCCCCCTTCTCCAGGAAGAAAAAATGTTTATCATGGGGACAACAATTCATTTTTTGCTATATCCTATTTGTAGAGTTGGTGATAGAACAGGCAAATGTACCAGCACTTGAAATATGTTTAACTGTTAATTAAATATCGTTCTCTACAGTATGCATTATCATTAAAAACAAAAGTTCCCCTAAGAGTGTATTTTCTGTTCTGTTAATGAGTATGGCAGTATAATGCTTTCCAAAGTAATGCCCCTTAAAACATTTGTTTTTTTTTTTTAAGTGGTAAGTTTAAATGTAGTAAATATAAGCATGCTTTTTCTCATTGTAATGATTAGTGCTGTGGTCATTAAAATAATACTTATTCTTCATAGGTATAATGTTCTTGTTCATTTCTTCTTATGACATAAAAAGACTTAAAAGTTTCATTTTCAGCTAATAACACAGTGGGGATGGGGCCTACACTTAAATGTGGGTGGTGAGGGATTCTTTAACAAATTCATTCACTGATATATATTTGGTTGACTGCGCCAGTCGCTAGGAACGAAAAGACAACTATGACTCTGTTTCTACACTTTAAGCTTTCAGAGTTTAGTGAAAAGAAAGAAATCAGGAGACAAATGACTAAAATATAGAGTAAGGGAAAGGACACATAGAACAGGAGGCCACGGGAACATAACGAAGAAGCTGTGTAGCTCAGCCTGGATGGGTCAGGGAAGAATTCCAGAGGAACGACTTACGTGTTTTGCCCCAGAGACATACCCTAGTTTTTACACACAGCGGCCAGAAGTCAAAATATACTTAGAGTAAAAACAACAACCATCGTAATAACCCAAAGGGGTAGAGACTGAGTATAGATGCATGCATAGCCTGGCTTGCAGACATAGTGGGGCCGGGGGATGATTCTGGAGAATGCTCGTGTTTCCCACTCTGGACTGTCCCGTGCTCAGAAGCCCCAGGTGGCAGAGTAGGCCCACAGAGCCACGGAGAGCAGCCCTTTGGGATGGGTTGCCTAGATGGGGTCTGTGAGCAAGGTTGGGATATGGTGGGGAAGGAGTTTGTTCAGTTTACCCGCCAATGAAAACACCTCTCCAAGTTGACAGCTTGATCTTCTGGGCCTACTCTATGCTGCTGTGACTGCAGATACAAGAAAAAGGAAGAACACAGCAAAATCCTCCACTTACACTTTCTAAAAGCGGATCAGATGTCTACATCTCACAGCAGTTGTTATCCCGATAACATAAACATAATACACTCTGACCTCATACCTCAAGCTGATGTAAAAGGCTTTGTCTGTATAGGGAAGCCACCCGAGATCTATTGCTGTATTTCTTTTTTCTTCCTCCTGTTATCAGAAAAATCTTAAGTTCTTACAATCTTCTTTGCATAGATATATATTAAACAAGATAACTTTGTCTTTTTTTTAATCTTCTGGAATCTGAAACCCGCCAGATGAGAACCACAGTGCCACAGCGGAGTCCAGTCGTCTTCTAGATGTACCCCGCTACCTCTGTGAGGGGACAGAGTCCCCTTATCAGACGGGACAGCTGCACCCAGCCATCCGGGTGGCCGACTTACTGCAGCACATTAACCTCATGAAGACATCAGACAGCTATGGGTTCAAAGAGGAATATGAGGTGAAAGTTTCAATGCTGTGTTAAATGTTATTTCTAATTGTAATAGTGGAATTGAACCTTTTTTTTCCTCCCTTTACCGTCATAAGGAGTGGAGTCTATGCCATAGACTCCAATCTTGTGTCTCTGAGAATATCCTCAAATGTGTATGGGAGAGAAAGGGTAGACGGAATTGAAAGAAAGGGCACTTTCTGGGTCAAAATTCGCTTGAAGAATTCTTAAATTTTGGATTCCAGAATTTTACTCTGCTATTTAAAAACCCCTTTGTTAGACCTTCTATTTCCCCCCCTGAAAAATACATTAACAGGATCCTTTGGGTCCCATTGTATCACTCCAGAGTCGACCATTTGAATGACTGAAGCAGTAGGTTCTTCTCTGCCTCTTTGCTTGTTGACCCTCTGTTGGGAAGTGGGGGACGATCTTTGTGTTCTAAATGTACTGCTTGTCACTCTTAGTTTTCTTTGTGGCTTATTGGTTGAAAGTGGCCGGGAAGAAAAATAGAGCACTGTGAATCTAGACAACATTGAGAAGCCAAAAGAAGGATGTGGGAAATTCTTCTTCCAACTTGATTTCCCCTTCCTCCTGAATCCAAAATACCAGTGTAAGTCATACTGCCACAGGAAGTGGTTTAAACTGAACATCTCAATAAACATAATAGAGCAAAAAGGAAAAAGTTCCTTTGCCACTCGGCACTTACTGAGAAATGTCAGCCTCGGGCATAGAAGGAAGTTCCTCCACCACCGTTCTCATAACCTCCATATACACACATTTAAAGTGAAAGAATCCAAGCAGTACTTGACTTTGAAAGACCATCTAAAATGGGTTCGACTGCATGAAGAATCTTCTGAACTCTGTATTTTATTTACAGATGGCTTGTATACCTGAGTTTGGGAGCAAATAAAATTAGCTGTGAATTTTGAAAGTTGTTTTTAGATACACACCAGAAACACTGTGCTGTGGCAACAAAATAGTGCAAGGAATTATAAGATTCTGCCGGAGCTGGGTTTTTTTTTTTTTTTTTGGTTGTTGTTCATGTGTATTCCTGTGTACCTCACTTCAAAAACCGTTGATTCTTTGAAGACCCTATTTCCTGTGTTGAGCAATGTTTAAGTGTTACTGCAAAAAAGAGATCTATACCCATATTTTAAATTGCTGCATATGGTAATTAAACCAATCAGCAAATTCATCTGTTCCAAGATCCTTGGATAAGGTGACTCTTTTTAATTTTCATATGGTCCCTTGTAGAGACTCTGTCCTTTTCATGATCTTCAAAGAAACTGAAATGGGATGTATTGCACACAATTTAATGAATAATTATGGGGGAAAACAGGTTTTCTTTTTCCTGTTATAAATGCTAAGGGAAAAACCTTTGAAAGATACTCATTAAAAGTAGTTTTAACGTTTTGATGCTTTCTCTACTTCCATCTCTCAGAGTTGTAGCAATCTTAAATTTGAAATCGTTTCAAGCTCCTTTTTTTTCCTAAAGTTGTTTTTTTGTCCTTATTTTGAACTCAGTCCAATCCAGAATGAGCAAGTAGGAGTCCAACAAACAAGCTTTGAGATCTGAAAAGAGAACTTGTTTACTACTCTAGGACTCCCTTCCTCCCTGAGAAAAGTGTCTTTTATTTTGGTCTTCAGAACAGATAAACCTGATCCAAGAAAAAGAGTTAAATTCAGTCTTCTTGTTACTTTTTCCTTTTCCAGAGCTTCTTTGAAGGACAGTCCGCATCTTGGGATGTAGCTAAAAAAGATCAAAATAGAGCAAAAAATCGTTATGGAAACATTATAGCATGTAAGTTCTCATATAATTCTTGGTGAATGTAAATATTGTGTATAGAAGATAAATATTAAGTGGCAAGTCCTTCTTATATGCTTTTAAACTTCAAGAGAATCCCAGAGAGTGGCACATCTGTTTATAAAGTAATCTATTTAGTATTAAAACAGCATTGGCTGTTGGCAGCGACTCTGAAGTTGTCGTCATCTTCATTAACTAAATTGACTCAGACTCTTCACCCTGTGGAGATAACTTGCTGTTTGATTTTATGTTTGCACATAAATGCATGGGGTGTTATTGACAGCTGAGAATATCAGGATAATGAAAAAGAAAGGTCTTTTCAGTGATAAATTGCTATAACACTTCTACCAAACATACTCAAGGTGAGAGTGTTATTCTTTCCATATAACCTTTATTTCTTCTTTGCAGCAAGTGCCTGAACTCCGGCTGCTCCATGTTATTTGTCATTAGGGACTTCATTAAGTTTTAAGGTGTTTGCATGGGATAAATAAATTGGTTATCCTATGAAACCACAGGAATGGTAAGGAAAGTAACATAGTTTAGTTTGTGACTAGCTAGTGATGTACTTGGCCCACTCAGACCTCAATTTAAATTACTTTGAAATATCTTCTGAATACATCTGAGTACAACAGAATTCAACCTTGACTCTCAAGAAGTTAAGAAGTCTAGAGCAGGGATTCAGAATTCACTCTCTAGTTCTGTGGCTCATTTGCTGTAAAGTGCAGCAGGAATGGATCCCACCCATTTAAACCCATGTCTAAGAAGCAGAATTAGACATTAGAACGAGTTCAGTCCTGGGCCGCCTGGGTGGCTCAGTCATTAAGCGTCTGCCTTCGGCTCAGGTCATGATCCCGGGGTCCTGGGATCGAGCCCTGCATCGGGCTCCCTGCTCAGCGGGAAGCCTGCTTCTCCCTCTCCCACTCCCCCTGCTTGTGTTCCCTCTCTCGCTGTGTCTCTCTCTGTCATATAAATAAATAAAATCTTTAAAAAAATAAACGCGTTCGATCCTTTAGACAAAGCCAATGGTGATTCATCAGACATTACCATGTTCCCTAAAACCTTCCTAACTATGAAGATGCTAGCCGTTGAAGCTTATTAACAGGATATTATAATAAGTACTGAGCTCATCAAAGTTCTTGTATTTCTTTAAGGAAATTTGAATAGTAGCCTGTTACGGCTAAGCTATGAGCAACCGCTGAATTATTTTAAGTCTCTACCAAGGTCATTGTCTTGGAACAGAGAGGAAATTTAATAGCTTTATTTTATTGTTTAACAACTTTAGATGACCACTCCAGAGTAATTCTGCAGCCTGTTGAGGATGATCCTTCTTCAGATTACATTAATGCCAACTATATAGATGTAAGTATTTTTATAGTTTGGTGTGCCCAATTTGTTGGCTTATATATGTGAATCTTTTTGCTTGTTATTACCTATAAAGTGATTGCTAGCTTTTTATAATAAAGAACAAACTGTACACTTTTCCTTGTTCTACGTCCTAGTACTCACTGACGTTGTTGTGCTTTCTTTCACACCTGACTTTGGTTTGGGCTGTAGATTTGGCTGTACAGGGATGTAAGTACCACTATATGTAAATAACAGCACCCTATTATAAATATTTAATATAACTACTCTTAATTACAGTTCTTACTAATGCTTAATACTAGTTACCTCTGCATGCTTCCCCTAAGTAGCCTCATATGGTATATCTATGTTCATTTTTCGTAACTCCTTTACATGTGTGAAGATCTATTTTACCTCCTTCCCTTTGCTATGTTTAGAAAAACAGGACCATTTTTAGATTTTGACAAGTTATGGTGTACTCGAGTTTTATTTGTTGATGATTTCTGTTTCTGGCTTTTATTCTTCCCCCTTCCCCAAACATGTGAGAAGCTGGATAGTATGATGTGTATTAGTGTTTCTGAAATTTTACTTTTTACATTTGACTTCTGATGTTAAAAATGAGTAGGAAGACTATTTTGTGGTGTGTGGTATTGGCTTGTTAAAGTATTAAAATTACTTAGGCCAAATCATTTCTAAATTGCATTTGTAAAATATACATATCACACATATATATCGAATCATGCAAACCAAAAAGCTTGTTTTGGTCACAAGTTTCCACTGTTACATTTTGGTTACAAACATATCTACATGCAAATTGTTCATTTAATGGAAAGTAACTAGCAAATCAAAGATAAAATATTGTCAAGGAAGTAATAATACTACATTACATGTAAGAAGGACAGGCTCTTTATTCGGAATTCCTGGTTCAAAATTATGCTGGAAATCTTGGGACTGTTGCTTCCCTTCTCTGTGCCTCAATTTTCTTCTCTGTACCGTGGGGATAATAATAATAGTATGAACCTCATCATTTCGTTATGAGAATTAAATAAAGTAATGCATGTTGAACATTCAGCACAGTACCTAGTACATACAAAGCACTTATGAAATATTCGCTATTTTTAAATAATTCCGTTCTAGGTGTGCTGAGATTAATCAGTTAAAGACATGCATTACTTGTAAGGCAAAAGGTAGAAGTATCAAATATTGCAGCATGTATATTGTACACATTTATAGTTATATAAAACATATGAAAATTAGGCCCCGACTTTGTCTAATTTCCATAAATAGGAAATGACCTCTGTCACATTTATTAAGTTCATGTTTTATAGTTATTTTGTGAACTGTCATCACTGATATCTTTGGATTAATTAATTTTATTTGTAGTCTCTGAGTATATTGGTAAAAATTCTGATCATGCTTTGATGCTCATTTGATATTTTAAATTTATCAGACATCTCAAAAGAGAAAGCTAAGCTAATGTTCCACTCTTTAGAATAAAAAACTCAACAGTTTTGTGACAAATTTGTACTTGTTCTTACCTATTCAGTTTAACCTTGGTTTTCTGCCAAGACATATACACTGGAGCCTTGTTATACTACTACTTTATGGTTCATATGGTACAACTGTGTTCTAAATGAGACTGTGTTGTTATCCAGTCGTTCTGTTAAGACCCCAGTGTATTTTGGCTGATTACTACACAATTCCATAATGTTCTCTTTCCCGTTAGTTTATTACACTTAAGACTCTTCTGTAATTGGTACATTTTTCATGAAAAACAGGAGATGAAATGCTTATAGAGCTTGGAGAAAATTTGTCCGTGAAAAATTGTACTATTTGGTATAAGAAGAAATAGAAAACTTCCAAATTGGCAGCAGTATGCTGCTCAGACTGTTAAGTTTTAGATTGGAGATCTCAGTTTATGTGCATTTATATGCACATCGAGTTGCCCACACCAAATGTGGACAAATTGTACCACAGGCTTTTGCTAAAGTCCTTTCATAAATACAAAACAAATTTGAAGCTTAACCCTATTATACCGTTAACAGTTGTGCTACTCATGATGTACCGGAATTCAAATCAATTGAGAGCAACTAACAACTTATTTCTTATCAGGAATAATTTCTTTGTTGAAACAGTATTAAATGTTTAACCACCTAAAGCTCTTGGCACACTAAAAAGAAAAAAGTGCTAAATTTTTTGTTCAGGATTAGATGTATTTTATTTAAAACTCTTCTTTCCCTATATATGTGTGTACCTGTAATTATGTGTGTGTGAACTAATATTATCAGCACACACAAAATAGTTTCGGCAGATTCCTGAACATATTATAGTACAGGAATATTCTCTAAAATAGCTCAGCAGGACTTTGACTTAATGCACACATGCATTGTCCAGCTCTAACATTGGAATGTTCTGTTATTTTTTTATGGTTCTAATATGTTGTTGTCCATTTGTAATGCAGTGTGTTGTACTTTTGGATGATAAGATGAGAATTAATATTTTTGAACACCATTTGCCAGGAATGAATGACTAAAGATTAACATGAAGGCATAAACATTTTAGTAAAACCAAACAATATCTACGAGGTTATTCCCTAGCAAACAAAACTCAATTATGCAATACATATTCTAATCTGAGCCCTTAAAACATTTAATTTTTGTTTTATGTTTACCTTTCAGATAACCTAGGTTTGAGAAGTGAACTCTGAGTTCACTACTCATTTCTGGACTTTTTACTATAACTTAATCTTAACAGGTGGTTGTCTTCATCTTTTTATGCCTTCATTCATTTATTTCTGATACTGATGTAAAATGATAACCAATTTGTTCTCCTATTTTAGGGCTACCAGAGACCAAGCCACTACATTGCAACTCAAGGTAAAACATGACCTTTTTAAATGTTCTAGAGCAACCAGACTTGCTTTTTCATCCATATGGTGTTGCTCTGGTTTATGGTTTTGTGGTTTGTTTTGGTTTTTTTGTTTTCTTTTTTTTGTTTTTTGCCATTTTTATCTGACTTAACTGAAAAGATCAGGTCATCTGAGACTGCTCTTTATTCATTTGTATAATACAAGTTGTTTTATCTGTGTAAAACACAGATAAATTAAAGCTCACTTTATTTTTTAATTAAAATAAAAGAGAAGCTGCTTGTTTGTGGTTTGGGTTTTGGTATTCTGATGTCCCAGAGTACACTAGTCAATAGCGCTGGACACAGGAATTACTTCTGGTGAAAGCAAGAGAAGTCTCACCTTGTATAAGTTGCCCTTTTTTTGGTAACAAGGTCTGTGGTCCTGGAATGGAGGATTATCCAAGACTGATATTGTTACAATGAGATGTTAGACTGTCTTCCAGCAAATTTTTTACGTCAAGACAGACAAAACGAAGGGCTAAAGGGAACTCTGTCAAGTTCGTGCTATGTAGGAAATAAGAAAAAGGCAGAAAAACCTTGTTAGAGTGGCACACTGGGGAATAAGAGCATCCTAAAACACCTTTAGTTGTCTCTCCATATTGACCACTGGCCATCAGAAGAGAAACCTGCCTATCCATTTATTTCTTAAAAGAGGGAAGTAAATCAGAAGCTCTGTTTGCTGTTCTGACAGAGACCATTTTCTGAGTATTTTCACATATCTTTGGATTAACTGAGTTGAATTGTAAGCTCTTTAAAGTTAAAGATCATCCATGGTGAACAATATTCTAGATTTGTTTGCTTGTGGCACTGAGTAGAGTATAACCCATTAGATATGTTAGCGGTCTGGAGATGATAATATAAGGCTGGGATGTGTGCCTATATGTAGGGCTGTTTCTTCGTTAACCCCTAAACATGCACTGTTTTATAAATGATGTGGGTATATTTAATTGGTAATACATGCTGTTTGGTTGACAGTGGAATAAGACTTCCTGTTTTTAACATATATTTGAAGATCCATCAAATTAACTTAGTGAAAGCTTTAAGTACCCTAGAATCTAGTGTATCTTCTTCTACATGGGAAGTATAGAAGGTAAATTGAAAAAAAAAAAAGTTACATATGCCTATGTTTTTGCTATAGTGTGAATTTAGATACAAACTGAATTTAAGTAATTTCAGTGACATTCTGTGTTAAACATATTATTTATTGGCTTATTTAGTTTACTTTTATTTGTACCTTATGCATACTTCTTACCACTTATTTCTTCTAACCACAAAATTTCTCTGATAATACAATATTCAAATTAATTTCTTCAAAGGCCCAGTTCATGAAACAGTATATGATTTCTGGAGAATGATCTGGCAAGAACAGTCTGTCTGCATTGTGATGGTTACAAATTTAGTTGAGGTTGGCCGGGTAAGAGAAAACAAGTTTTTTTTTTCCTGTTCACAAAACATGAGTATAAGTTTAGTAGCCAAACATAACACACTTAAAATAGAATCTCATTCAGTTGTTTTAAAAATTCATAGGCATAGCATTTCAATTGAGTGCTCCTCAGTGGACCTTTGACGGCTGAGAAATTATTTGATTTCTTTATTGAGTAATGAAAGAAACTCTGATTTTATACTAGATTCTAATAGCATCATAGGGCTTATGTATTATAATGAGACTACACAAAGTTTTTCTATTTATTGTGTAGTAGATTCTTTTATCTCATATATAGTTTTTCTTTACCTGTATTTTTACTGTAACCTAAAGAGTTAGTACTGGAAATAGATCATCTTGGTTAATGTGTATTCAGGCCCACTTTATATACCCTTTTTGTCATTTAGGTTAAATGCTATAAGTATTGGCCCGATGATACTGAAGTTTATGGTGACTTCAAAGTAACTTGTGTGGAAATGGAGCCACTTGCTGAATATGTAGTTAGGACATTCACCCTGGAAAGAGTAAGTACCCTAAAATTCTCTTTATTTAAAACATGTTTATTGAAACCTTTTTTTCTCCTAAAGTCCCCATCAATATTTGTTTTGATGATGCTATAGAATCTATCCATTCATTCATTCATTCCACAAATATTTATTCAAGAGCATGCCATGTGCCAGGCATGTTTGTGAACCTTGGGATACATGTTAAATACATAAATGATTTCTATTTTGAAACGTGGTCTAGAATCATGTGAAAAATCACAAACTAGAAAATCAGAGAAAATCAAAAGAACAAAAGAAAAATTAAATATAAACCAAAAACCGACAAAAAAGAATAAATGAGATCAAACAGCTAGTTCCTTGAAAAGATCAATGAAAGAACTAAAGCACTGTCAATTCTAAATGAGGGGGACAATCAAAACTATGCAATATTAGAAAACACAAAAAAGACATAACTACAGTAATACTTGCTGTTAGGAAAGCAATAAAAAAAATATTACGTATAAACTTGGAGACAGAGATTTTAGTCTAAATACCCTTATATTTACTAGAGTAAATACTGATTCTCAAAATTTGACCCAAGAAGACTTAGAAACCTGAACAGATGATAGAAGAAAATAGAATCTTAAAATTTACCAGTGAAATTTCACTATGGTTTTATAGTTGAGGTTTCTTTAGCTTTTAGAGAACAGTTGATGCCTATGTTAATAAAATTGTTTAGACCTTAGAAGACCATTAAAACCAACTAAATATATTTTAAAAGCTAGCATAACTGTGATAACATAACCAGGTAAAGATGGCACTCTCTCAAGCTCCTCTCTCTCCTCTCTTTTTTTTTTTAATAATTTTATTTATTTATTTGAGAGAGAGTAAGAGAGAGAGAGCACAAGCAGGGTGAGGGGCAGAGGGAGAAGCAGACTCCCCACTGAGCGGAGCTCCAGGATCATGACCTGAGCCGAAGGCAGACACTCAACTGACTGAGCCCCCCAGGGGCCCTGCCTCTCTGTCTTTTCTTAAATCTCCCTCCCTCTTTCTCTCTCTTTCTCTTTCTCTCCCCCACCCGCCCCCTCCTCTCCTCTCCTCTCTCTCTCTGTGCGCACACACTTTACACACCAATTTCATTCAAGAACATGCTTGAAAAAACTTCAAAATAAAATATTGAAAATTTGAAACCCAGCTGTGAATTAAGAAAACATCACAACATGATCTATAATGATTGTTTTCTAGGAATGCAAAGATATGACACTTGTGGTAGGAAATCTAGCCAAATACTTCATTGCGTCTTCATCAAAGGAGCAAAAACATATGGTTTTATTAATAGATATTGTAATGTACTTATTTTTACTTAAAAGTAAATAATAGAAATTTATAGAAATAATCTATAATAGGAAAATAAGGAGGCTACTTAAACATGATAAAGGTCTTTCAACAGTAACTAATAGCATGCATATTAAGGAGTGAAAACCCTAAAGGTATTGCTATGTAATCAGGAGTGTGACGTGGATAATCAGTCTCACTAGTATTCAAAATCTGGGGAAGTTCTAGTAAATGAAGTAAGACAACAAAAGGAATAAATTGCTTAACTGTTAGAAAAGATAAGATTATTTTAACATGAAGTTATCTTATACCAAGAAAACTAGAAATATTTTAAAATGGAACTACTAATCATTGAAGTGGCTAAATCAAGATAAATATTCATAAATGATAGCTTGTCTGTATATTTGCAGGAAACAGTAGTAGACATTACAAAATCTCTTTCAGTCTCTTTAAAAAAATTTTAAAGTATCTAGGAATAAATTCAACAGAGATATAGGTCCTAAGTGACTAAATCTTCAAAAGTGTATTAAAGGACATAAAATATGATGTGAATCAGTAAGTGGAGACATGCACCATGGCCCAGAATGGGAATGTTTTATATTAACACCACTTTCTGTAGTTAATGTCTAATACTAATTGGAACATTATTGGGTTTTTATTTTTAATTTGACTTCTTGCTATTTAGAACTAGAAAAGAGTAGTTTGGTTTTTTTGAAAACCACGTATTTGAAAATTACTTAAGAAAATTTAAATAGAAAGAGCAGTAAGGGAATATGCCTTGCCAGATATTAAAAAGAACTTTTTACTGAAGTTTACTAAAAAGAACAAGGCTCTCTTACAGCAAGCACCTGCAGTAAAAGAATTAATATGGAGGAGGGGAGGTAACTATCTGAAATCAGGTCTTGGAACAATTTATGATCTTCCTCACTGGAGTTGACTTGAAAAGTAGTAAAGAAAGGGATTTTTCTATTTGTATGATTCCATGAGAGTGTTTATCATTGTCATTATTATAATTATCTTTTGAGCCCTACTTTGTGTAGGGTATCATGTAGGGACTAGATCTAGAAAGAATAAGACGACCTGATCACTGGCTTTGGTGCTCTTGGTTGGTCTATCTCTATAGGACAGAATCTAAACGTTCTCAATTTGGTTCATTTATTTCCTGACATTTTTCTCCCTGTTCTGAAGTCAGAACAAGTGAGATGGAGATACCACAGACAGCTCATAGTGCCCCTGGAATTATATAGATTACTGTGGGGGTTTGGGGACTACAGATGTGGATTCTTACAAATAAACTCCGTAACACTCTATGTAAGCTCTAAGTTGTGCTAACACAATCTACAGGCTTCTTCAACCAAAAGGAAAAAGCTTTGAGGTGTGCATTTAAAAGTTCTCTTAAATTAACCCAATCGGAAAGAGGCATTACAATGATGCTTCCCTTTCATTTTGTACTTTTGTTACTATAAATAATACTCGGTGCTGCATTATTTCTCAGAATTAGGAAAAATCGTTTGGCCAAAGAACAGTTTAGTTGTCTGTATATTTTTATGAAACAATCTAAAGTAGCACTGTGCTGGAAAATCCCCACATGCTGTGCTTCAAAACCATTTTCAACATGGATAAGTAAAGCATTAAAATCTTTTTGAGGTGAGAAGCTAGAAAGTTGCTTTTTTATTCACCCCTCGAAAACTCAGTGCCTCAGGTCAATAGGGCAGCATTTTAGCTTTCCCGTTTTTTTGTTTTTTTTTCCTTTTCTCCTAATAATTTTATGTGTTGTCACTCCAAGTAAGGAACAAACTGTCAAGGTAAATAAAAATTTACACAGGGTTGTAGAACTGAGCAAGACTTCTAATTGTCTTTCTTTGGCAGGTGTCGGACAAGAAAGGTAAGTTCCTCGACTGTGTCAGGCCAGCACCCTTTTTCAAAAAAAGCCTGATCTTTGATAGATTCTTCATTTTTTGTTTTTTTCATTGTCAACCAGATCTAGTGCCTATGACTGGTGTTGAATGGCTTTATTTGGGCCCTTTTTTTTTTTTTAAGATTTTGTTTATTTGACAGAGAGAGACACAGTGAAAGAGGGAACACAAGCAGGGGGAGTGGGAGAGGGAGAAGCAGGCTTCCCACCGAGCAGGGAGCCCGATGTGGGGCTCGATCCCAGGACCCTGGGGTCATGACCTGAGCTGAAGGCAGACGCTTAACGACTGAGCCACCCAGGCGCCACCTATTTGGGCTCTTTTGAAAACACTTGTTTACATGTTTGCACAGAGGGGCTACAATGAGATCCGTGAAGTGAAACAGTTCCATTTCACCGGCTGGCCTGACCACGGTGTACCATACCATGCCACAGGCCTTCTTTCCTTTATCCGGCGAGTGAAGTTCTCCAACCCTCCCAGTGCCGGCCCCATCGTTGTGCATTGCAGGTGAGTGCTGGACCGGACGCTCTGGACTGTATACAGCCAGCTTTTTTAAAGTACGAAGCCGAGGCCTTCAAGCACAAAACTAGTGCATGCTTACAAGGTTCTGGCTTACATGTATTTAAAAAAAAAAAAAGTTAGCTCTAAGGAGGATATAAAATAGAAACTTAAAAAATAAATACATTCATCCTAATGTGTGTAGTGTTGTTCACAAATGCGTGTGTGGAAACTCTGTCTTTTAGTGGCAACATCTGTGTTTGGGTTTTGTTTTGTTTTGTTTTTTCCTATCTTTTGCAAATCCCATATTGTATGGAATGGGAGGTTAAAATAGAAATTTCTTGCCAATCTAGTAAATTCCCAATAGAAACCCAGCTTTTAAAACTAAATTTGAGACATACAGAGTTACTAAATGGCCTAGATTGCAAGAATTTGTGCTATAGAACAGCTATTTAAGAATTAAAAAAAAAAAAAGCCATCCATCAGAGGACCTTAAAAACTACATCAGTGAGATCCAGCAAATATATGCCAGAAAAATGTGAACATTATATCCAGGCTTCCTTCTGATTAGAAACTTCTCTTAAAACAAGCATTCAGAGACACTAAAAGCAAATTACATGGCCTCATTTTGAGATATGAACAGAAAAATATGCACTGAATCTGAAAAGCTTTTCCTAAATGCTGCACACCATTCTCAAATGCCATCCCCTCCAAGCTAGATAATAGGTTGTACTTAAGCATTTTTTTTTCTGAAAATCCAACCTATTCAGAATTTAAATGACCACATATGGAAGAGGGAAAACAGCACAGAGACTGACATAAAAATAAGGCATCCCATAAGGATCAGATACTGTGTACGCTGAAAAAAAAACTTCAGTTCAGTCCTCCTCAGGAAATCTGACGTACTCCTCAGTTGCTTTCCTGTCTCAAACCCTGGGAACAGTGATTGAGAAGATGGTAGGAAAAAGAAAAAGAAAAAAAAGGAAAGAGAGAGAGATACCCACAATATCTTTTACTTAAATTTCTTAAAGAATAGTATGTTTAAGAGAAGTGACCAAATCTGGACAACAAAGAAATAATGTTAATAGCCAGTCTATGCATTTAGAAAATGAGATAAATGGGTTTTCAATTCAGGAGTGTCTTGACTTATCATAGAGGTTGACTTTCCTATGATTTGCTTGCTTCAGAAGTGGTCCAAGATTCTCAGATACTCTCTTGAAACAAGAAGTGTCATTTTTCACTTATACTCAGATATCTGTGAATTTATAAAAAAGAGGAAGCTGACTACCAAGTGAAATTCCACCCCCCCACCAAATCCCAACTATATCTTATTTGCACTGTTGATTTTTATATATAAAATTGAGGAGAGCTGCCTGGGTAGCTCAGTCAGTTAAGGGTCCGACTCTTGATTTTGGCTTAGGTCATGATCTTGGGGTCATGAGATCGAGCCTCACATGGGGCTCCCCGCTCAGCAGGGAGTCTCTGAGATTCTCTCTCTTTGTCTGCCCCTCCCCCCTCACATTCTCTGTCTCTAAAATAAATAAATAAATCTTTTTAAAAAATTGAAGAAACATTCCCAAGAGGTAAAACAATCAGTGGTATGTTAAGATTCAATGACTGAATTAAATACAGTGAGATAGTGGCTATCTTTGTGACCTGTAAAGAATTATATTCTATACCTAACTATTCATTTTCATTTTTCCTTCAGATCACCAAATATTCTTTCTACTATTGGCCTTCTCCTCATTGATAACCACCATTTTCCTCCCCACCGTCACCATTAGCACTTCCTCTGAATTGTGACTCCTCAGATTTCCCAGTAAATGTTTCAGAATTAATTTTCTTTGACTTGGTATTTACAAGAGTCTGTCAGACTAAAACAGTGAGCCAGCATTCTTGCATTTTGCCAGAGGACCCACAAGTATATGAGTAAGAATATTTTTAAGGTTAAATCTTAAAGCACAAATCCACCCCTTGGCCAGTTCTGTGAGCTTAAAATCATGTGCATTAGATTTCCAAAGAATGAAGATTTGTATGAGAGCTGTGGAACTTGAACAACATATATACATTATGTGTAAAACACAATTTGATATACAAAGTTTATCGTTTTAATTTCAAACTCATGCTCCAGTGTACATTAAATAAGTGTTTTATGTAACATACAAATTACATCTTGCGGTTTATTAAATCACTTTGATTCCACCTAGCTGACAGTTGAAAGGATCTTTAATAAGATTGCAAGAACGTACATCTTTCAATTCTTTAGATTTGTTTTAATTTTTTTCAGTGCTGGTGCTGGACGAACTGGCTGTTACATTGTGATCGACATCATGCTGGACATGGCTGAAAGAGAGGGTGTTGTCGACATCTACAACTGTGTCAAAGCCTTAAGATCTCGTCGTATCAACATGGTCCAGACAGAGGTATGCTGTCTGGATGCTGATTGATCTCTGATGGCTTCTTTTTTTTTTTTTAAGTTCCAACATTATCAAAAACAATGTTTTTCACATAGAATCAATATTACCTCATCAAGTCATATAGGAAAATATTGATATCATTATTAATGTTTCTATATAGAGAAAATTCTTTGTATTCTCTACCTTTGATGACAGAAGATTGTTATTAAAATAGTTTGATTTTTTTTTTTCCTTTCTTAGGAACAATACATTTTTATTCATGATGCCATTTTAGAAGCCTGTTTATGTGGAGAAACTGCTATACCTGTCTGTGAATTTAAAGCTGCCTATTTTGATATGATTAGAATAGACTCTCAGACTAACTCTTCACATCTCAAAGATGAATTCCAGGTATTTACTTATTTCTAGAGCTTCTTTTATGAGCAACTTATTACAGTGTGTTCTGGGCATTATTAATTCCTCTCAGAAAGGTCTTTCAGGTCAAACTTATAACTTTTAACCCTATTTTAAGTATAATATAATACCTGTCTCTTTCATTATACATATTATGGAGTCACTGTGGTATTAATGAGCTCATATCTGCTGTATCTGGAAGGGCAAATGAGTTCAGACTCAGGGAAGAGTATGGGGAAAGGTATCATAAAAGTCAAGCTTGGTGGTGATTTGTGTGTATTTATAACCTTTTTTTATGCAGACTTATGGATTTTAACCTTCTGTGTCACTCACAAGGTGAGATCAAGCGCATTAATAATAATAGCTGAAGTTTGTACCAAACATTGTCTCTAAATAACCCCAAATGTTTTCACTGCCCTTAAAACATCCCTGAAGGTGTGTGAATGTGAAGTCAAGAGGGGCTCCGGACACCTAATACTTTGATCCTCTGTGCAGTGCTCTTTCTAGCTTCTTCTACCCTGTTTTCAAATATGGCATGCCAAAATGTTACTCCAGGTGATAGTTTCCAACTTTGATGATGGGTCATCGTTATGGACCACTCTAATTCTGTTTTCTTTGGTTAGGCAGTGCCTTTTGCAGGTAGCGGCGGTTTTTGGCTTCCCTTTTCCTTTTAGGAAACACAGTGAACAATGTGTACATTGTTTCTTTGTCACTTCTCAGGCTTCAGTAGCTTTAATTAAGTCTATCAGCCTGTCATCATGGCAAATGCCGTCGCCTGGTACAAATCCTTCCCTTTGTACTTGGCCTCCCAGATACTCGATGGATCTGCTCTGTGCTATTAAATGGGTCACTTGCTTTTAACCTAGGTTCCCTTTTCTTTTTAGACTTTGAATTCAGTCACCCCTCGACTACAAGCTGAAGACTGCAGTATAGCGTGCCTGCCAAGGAATCATGACAAGAATCGTTTTATGGACATGCTGCCACCTGACAGATGTCTGCCTTTTTTAATTACAATTGATGGGGAGAGTAGTAACTACATCAATGCTGCGCTCATGGACGTAAGAGACTGCGTCTTTGTTAGCAAGAGGTGTCATGAAAAGCTACATGATGGGGATGAACACTGGCTGGTTTTCTTTTCAAGAAAATTAACAGGGCCTAGAAAGGAAAATTGGAAATTTTTTTGAGAATGATTTTGAATTTCCCCTGCAGGAATTCTTAGGAGCTCTAAGTTTTAGGCCCCATTGTAAGTTTGGAGCTTGGTTGTCAATTATTATATTCTGTACAGGAAATACCTGCAGGTCATATTTTCCATCATAATTATTTTCAGAAAAGAAAATCATGCTTATGGGGCGCCCGGGTGGCTGGGCGACTGCCTTTGGCTCAGGTCATGATCCTGGAGTTGGTTGGGCGACTGCCTTTGGCTCAGGTCATGATCCTGGAGTTCCGGGATCGAGTCCCGCATCGGGCTCCCTGCTCAGCGGGGAGTCTGCTTCTCCCTCTGACCCTCCCCCCTCTCATGCTCTCTCTATCTCATTCTCTCTCTCAAATAAATAGATAAAATCTTTAAAAAAAGAAAAAGAAAATCATGCTTATGTATATTAGGTGAGGAATGAATCTTTAAAGCCACATAATGCCTTATCTTACGGAAGTTGTGTTAATTTGGGAAATCTTTATCTCTGACATTTAATGTTCCAGTAATTTATGGCTAGCTTGTTTTATCGGCCAATAATTATTAGAGACCCTTTATAAATAACTAGGAGAAGGCACCGAGGATACATGTTAATACATCCATCGTTAATGAAAAAACTGTCTTGCCCCACTCCAACCATCACAAAGTGTAAGTGGTAAAGCATATCCTCAGCAGGTTAGCATCCCATAGACAGAATAACAGGGGGAGAGAGTTTTAAGTCAGTCCTTGGCTACCTTGCTAGGTTACCTTGGAAAGAAGCAAGAAGGCTCTCCAGGTTCAGAATCCTTTTAAACAGCTCATCATCTTCATTTGTAAACATTTCTAGGTTTTGCCTTTTCATCTATAGAACCATAGCCAGGAGAAATTAGTCCCTGTGTGACTAATAATGAAGCTTTCTGCATTGTTGCTCCTATTGTGTTTTTGAAAATTAGCTTCTGATAGTAGAGACTTAGAAAGCCTACTTTCTACTTCTGAGACTAGTCTTTTAGCCAGTTACTTTGCTCTTTTTATGTTGCAGAGCAGAATAGTCTAAAGACAAGCTCAAGTGAAAAGTTCCCATTCTTGGGTGCCTGGGTGGCTCAGTTGGTTAAGCGACTGCCTTTGGCTCAGGTCATGATCCTGGAGTCCCGGGATCGAGTCCCGCATCAGGCTCCCTGCTCAGCAGGGAGTCTGCTTCTCCCTCTGACCCTCCCCCTTCTCATGTGCTCTCTCTCTCTCTCTCTCTCTCTCTCTCATTCTCTGTCATAAATAAATAAAATCTAAAAAAAAAAAAGAAAGAAAGAAAAATTCCCATTCTTGCTATGACCAGAATCTTGCCTTTTCATTAATCACATCCACTGAAATCACACCGGATCCTCATTGTTATCTTTTTCTTCCCATTTTAATTGTCTGGAAAGACAAATATACTAAATACAGAGAAAACACACAAGACCTTTTTGTTTCTGAGTCTAGATTTGGAATTTTAAAAGGCTGTGTGGAAAAGGGAAGGAGAAAATACTGTTAGGAAAGAGATTGATGAGGCGTAGGTCTGAGGCATTTTTTGTCTTTGGCATCGATCGCTGTCAAATTTTTCTTCATTTCCAGGTTGTTTTCTAGTCAATAGGAAGACTGAACCTTGTTCTCTACCTGTTTCTACTCTCTGCTTAATTCCCTATGATTCAACATAGATACATTTCATAATTGAGACCGTCGGGTGGATTCAGTAGTGGTAGTTGGGGCCTCAGAAAAGTTAGGTTTGGTTTGTCTTATAAGAACAGAGCTCGCTGGTCAGCACTCCCCACTCCCTCTACCCTCTAGCAACATGCTCAGTGTTCTGTATCCTTGTGCCATGATTGTGAAGCATTAGGAGGTAAGGCCAAGGATTCTGTGATTTCAAAGCCTCAGATGTGCTCTCGTCCTTACAGAGGAAAGATCTAGGAAAGCACCTGTGTCCCTCACATCATGTCATCCATCTCCCCTCCCCTGTGACTCAAAAACTGAGTAAATAGCTTGCCTTCCCATGGAACAGACATGTGATTGGAAGGAAAGTTATTCTTCTGACCCTTTTTCATGAGCCTTCATATTTTCTTAGGAGACACTCACCTCAGAGGCAGGTGTAACTCTGTGAGGCTTGAGGTCATTTAGAAGCAGCCATTTGAACTGTCAGCACTCAGATTTATCCCACGGTCTTCCTTGGAGCTGAATGCCATGGTTAGCAGCATTTCCCAAATGGCGATAAGATCAATATTCAAGAATCCGTTTCTACACTGATGTTAAGACCCTTGAAAAACTAGAAGAGTTAAATGGTACAAATGAGTTAGGGGATCACTGACAATTTTTATCAGCATGAAGGAAATCTATCTCAGGCAACTGTCTAGTCATTTTTTTACAAACTATTTAATACATAGAAATATAGATCATTAGTTTGCAGAATGACAGATTGCCCAGGTCACATGAGCATACCCTCTCCTTCTGGATAGAGATAATGTGTCACGTCCCAGTCAGGGAGCACTTGGTAAAAAAAGGAGCCATTCCCTTATAGGTGGAGCCAAGAAGTGCATTTCACTTTAAGAAAAATCTTAAGTGATTGAAACTATCATTCTGACCATGAATATACATTAGAAATGCCCAGGAAACTGGGATGGGCCTGCAGGATCAACAGAATGTGCTGATAATATCCATATAATGTAAAAGCACACAAGTTTGAGGCATATATGGTTTTTCTTACTTGAAATGGAAGAGAACCCAGCAGTTTTATATATAGATATAAATCAGATTTATATCTCTATATAAATATATATAAAATATACAATATTGAAGTATATATGTATATGTTGATAGATGTTGATAAATGATAGAAGATAGATAGATGATAGATAGATAGAGACACAGATATACGTACATACACACCAGGGAATTGTGTGCCTTCAGCCTCTCAGATTGATTACCTTTGAAACACTGAAAGAGCCCACAGGTACCTCATGGAGGATCTTAACCTTAAGAAGTTCTTTAGTTTCTTCTTTTGTTTTTGTCCTCTATTTACTTCTCTCAGCAAGGTAAAACTTGAATTGCTGTTGAGACTTTGAAGTTCTGCCATCAGATTGACAAAGTAGTGGCTCCAGTACATCTCAGTGGCCCACATCTCTTATTCTGTGGCTTAGGCAGTGTCCGGCTCCCTCTCCACGTGGGGCTGTTAACACCTTACCTGGTCCTACCTTGAGATGTGTTGAATTGGCTTGTACGACTGATCATTCATTTTAAGTTCTCATGTTTTCCCATCTACCTTGTTTCTTCACAGAGTTACCGGCAACCAGCTGCTTTCATTGTCACACAGTACCCGTTGCCGAACACTGTGAAAGACTTCTGGAGATTAGTGTATGATTATGGCTGTACCTCCATCGTGATGTTGAATGAAGTCGACTTGTCCCAGGTTAATGGCTGGGAGTTGCTTCTGTGTACTCATACGCAACTTAATGAAGTAGTAATAAGATGTTAAAATCCGCTTCATACTACCCTCATTGGAGAAAAATAATGCTCATTTTGGTTTTTTTTTCCCCCAAAATATTCATCATCTAGGGGTGTCCTCAGTACTGGCCAGAGGAAGGGATGTTGCGATATGGCCCTATCCAAGTGGAGTGTATATCTTGTTCAATGGACTGTGATGTGATAAACCGGATTTTTAGGATATGCAATCTAACAAGAGTAAGTCATTAATATTTTACGTGAGCTGATCCAGAGCAACTGAACATAACCATGTTGGGGTATAATTCCAATCAGACAACAGGAAGAGTGGAGTTAATAGGTGTTAGATAATCAGTCCCAAAGCTAGTAATCATCTTATACCTTAGTATTAGAAGAAAAATGCATTCCCAAAAACAGGAAAGCAGAAATGCAGGAACCTGGCTGTCCTGGTCAGTTACTTAATGTATTACATCAGAAACCAAATTCACATGCACTGACTCAACTGAGTCTGATGGTCTGAGCCTGGTCTCTGTGCATAAGTGGACTTTCATCAAGGTCAACTACATGTTTTATTAGTATTGATATCCAGCCCAGAAGAGGCATATAATTGAAAAATAAGTATTTAATAATGATGATAACTAAAAAGCTTTACCTCAGGAGGAAGGGATTTGTCGGAACAGCCATTATAGAAAGATTCCATGTCACTGTTACCTATAAGGGAGAACCCCACATATGAGGGGAAAAGGTAAATCACAGCCATCATTGATTCTCCTCCACCTGTAATTTCATCTCGCTGAATGTCCCAGGATCTGGCTCTGCCGAGAATTGTAGAACCAGCACTGGTACCACTTTTCCCAGGAGCAAAGGAGCAGCTGTGTTTCTCAGAAATCTTTCTTTCCTTGAGCCTTCATATATTTTACACTAAATGATAATATTAAGTCTGGAGTCTGTCCTCCAAAAAAGCAAAAAAAAAAAAAAAAAGTGCTAATAAAAACTGTTTAGATTGTGTAGCCAAATAGCAAACAGAATTTGAAAAGAAATCATTAGTAGCTTCCATGGAATTACTCTCTTTTTAGAGAGGATTACTCTGTTTTTAGTGCACCAGCTTTATGAATGTGTATAATTTTAAGTGTGTGATTCAGATTGTCATGTTTCAGTGTTTTCATATCAAAATGGCTATATGTGTTTCTGGTTAATAAGTCTATATGTATAACTATAAGCAGAGGATATAGTCATAGCCAATTCTGTCGCTCATTTCAGTGGAGAAAAAAAGGATAACTTCAAATCATGTCATAATATCCATGCATATCTTAGATGTTAATTTAAATGGAATCTCATTATGTCTGCACATCTGTTCCATTATGGTTCTAGTAATATTTTAGCTGAGAAACCATAGCACTAAACTCAGAAAGTAAGACTTGTCTTTTTATTGAGCTGTTTATATGAAAAATATTCTAAGGATGGGAACTGAAATCTGTGTTTTTTCATCGGTGTATTTGTTTATTTATCTTCCCCTATGTTTGGTGTTCTGGTTCTTATTAGTGCATGATTTTTTTTCTATTCCCAATCTTATTTAATATCATGCACTTCATGAGATATTTAATATGCACCAATGGGAAGTTGGGTGTTATACTAGTAGGTCCTTGTGATGCGTGAGCCCTTGCCAGGTGGAAATTCAAATCTAATGGCTATGATACAGCTTATCATGTATTGCAAATACTTTCTTAACATTTTCTTATGAGGCCTTAATGTTCTGGTTCATTCATTCAACAGTACTATTCTTTGGACAGTATTCTGCTAGGTTCTAGCAACACAGAGTTTAGGGGAGAAAGAGAGAGATTTCTTCATCCTTAAAGAATCTGTATTTTATCAGGGAAGATAAGCACTGAACAAGTCATTGTATAATCATTTATTTACAAATATGAGAAATTTTAGAGAAAAAGGACGAAATCCAGAGTGTTTGAGTGATCTGACATAGCTGGGTGACTAGAGAAGACTTCATTAGGGTAATGATCTTTGAGGCACAATTTGAAGAATCGGTAGGAGCTATTTGGGGGTGGGAGAACCAACTCTTCTGGTGTTCACAGGACAGAGAGGTTTTCCAGGACACACGAGTTTCAGTTCAAAGACCAGAAGAGTCCCAGGCAAACCCAAGAAAAATTGATCACAATTTTGGGATTGAGAGGCACAAACAAGGAGATCTCTGAGGCCAAATGGAGAGTTTGTGCAAAGTTCCCCAGGCAAGAAATGACTTGATAAATGGACTAATAGAAGGCCAATGTGTAATAATGCGTTATAGTAAAGGGAAGGTTGGGGAAGGAAGTGGAGCCATATCATGTAGAAATTTTTTAAGCCACTGCAGCAATTTGGATTTTATGTAAGATCATTTGGAAGCCATTAAAGCAGGGGAATGACAAGATCATATTTGCATTTCAAAATAATCATGATGCTGCCGTAAGAATGGCTTGGAAGGAGATCAAAGTTTATTCAAGGAGACCAACTAGGAAGTAATTATCATAATTGGTGATTGGGCCGATGCAATGATGTCAGCCATGATAAAGAGGAGAAGACTTTGAAAGTTATTTAAGGTGTGTGCTTGATTATTGGATATGGTGTGTGAGGGAGAAGCTTATATAAAGGTAATTCTCATGTTTCTTGCTTCTGTAACTTAGAATGTTTCTGTACTAGTATGTACATATTTTGGACTTACCAGCTAGACTCAATCCACTATAAATGGCATTTATGTCATGGTGTAAACATGTATGCATCTTCACTTTTTATTAAAATTCTAGTCCCAACTTATTTACAGAAAAATGCTTTTCCCTCTACAGCCACAAGAAGGTTATCTGATGGTACAGCAGTTCCAGTATCTAGGGTGGGCCTCTCACCGAGAAGTGCCAGGCTCCAAACGGTCATTTTTGAAACTGATACTGCAGGTGGAAAAATGGCAGGAGGAATGTGAGGAAGGGGAGGGCCGAACCATCATCCACTGCTTGTGAGTATGGCGCCTTGGCTGGGCCACATGGGGGCTCTGGTGCTCACTTCCTCACCAGCCTTCCTATTTTCCACGTTTCCACTCAGCCCACATCTTGTGGATCTCCACAGATAGCATTTCCAAATAGTCTTCCTGTCTCGTGATTCTCTAATTAACTACCAATTTTCATTTTCATATTTTTTTAAACATCCATTATTATATAGTTATCATATGATTTAAAGTCTTTCAAACACTACTCGGAACCACTTTTCTGATGTACACAGCCTACAAATGTACCAAAATTTCAAGGGATCGAAGTTGCAGCAGCCCATGCCTTCAGCATGTTCCTAAGCATAAGCTACAGAGCTAACATCATCTTCACGTGTCCCTGTGCTCTACCATCTACACATACATGTGTACAAATGGAGCAAAAGTAATACAAAATGGAAAAAAAATGAAGATCATGTTTTCATTTTCTCAACCTACAAGATTGTGTGACCTCTGGTGACTAAAAGCTGCTATCTAAAATGCCTTGGCTTTCTTTGCTTCCAGAAATGGTGGTGGGCGAAGTGGTATGTTCTGTGCTATAGGCATTGTTGTTGAAATGGTGAAGCGGCAAAATGTGGTGGATGTATTCCATGCAGTCAAGACCCTGAGGAACAGCAAGCCCAACATGGTGGAAGCTCCGGTGAGTCACAGAGTCTCAGACACAGAAGGGAGCAGAGACATTAGATAATCATAACCTACTCATTGGGTTGACTTCATACACCCAAGGGAATAGGATGTGTAAGTGAGTCTTTGTGGGGACTTTCCTGCCTAACTGATGAACTGCTGAGTATCTCTCTCTACCCACAGCAACTTAATCACATATTACAGAAACTGTTTGCGATGAAAACTATTTTCTCTTGATTTGGGAAATGTATGGGATTGTGGGTTTTTTCCTGTGATAAGCCATACATACTAGCTGTAATAAACTTTAGTAAATAGTTCTTATAATAAGAATAAATTCCACTCTCTAGTCCTTATTCTTGTCTATTTTTCATTTCTTAAAGCATCTAGGTTAACTGGTAAAGCATTCATCCAACAGATATATTCCTGAGTTGTATCAGCACTTTGGACACCTAATGTCTGTCCTTAATCGTCAAATGAAGTTTATTTTAGTCGTTACCTATAATTCTTCTTCATTTCTGGTCAAATTATAAATTTTAAACTGGCCTCATTGACAGTTTTCAACTTTTACCAGTTAGAGTGAGTGGTTCAGATGATGCCACCTGAATTTTCCAGGGCTCGTAAAATCAGAACATAGCTCACAAAATAAGAGACGATAGGAATGGGTATGTTGGGAGCTCATCTGGGTGGAGCTGTACGAACAGTAAGAAAGAAAAGTTAAACTCCTCGAGCACATTTTACTTCTAAAGAGAGATGTCTGTGGGTTACACATATGTGCAAGGTGGGATAAGGTCAGGAGCAGCTGTGTAGTTTATGTTCACACAAAGGTAAACCAGAAAAACCAAGGCAAAATTGTTGCTTGCCCTACATTTATCAAGATGATCAGATAACTAAAATGAGCAATTCAATAAACCCTTAAAGTATTCTCACCACTTCCTGCTCATGGATTGTTCACACAAAAAGTGCATTGCTTCCTGAGACAAAAATCTGAAGAGTTACATTTATACCGTTTCACTTTTACAAGTGATAACAGACGTTTTCCCCTTCTACAAGCCCCCTCAAACCGACCCTCCTCCAGCTCATCCTTTGGATTATTGCTGTTGTCTGGACAAGATGATGTTGGTGCTGAATGGAGTATTGTGGCAATGGAGGTAGAGAAAGGGGGGTGGATTTGAAGGATTTTTGAGGTAGAACTCTCAAGTATTCTTACAGAATGTAGTGGTTATGTCTTTTGACTCTTTGCTGTCTGAAGGTTTCTTAATGTAAACTCCACCTCTGTGTCTCAGATCACATCTTCTTAAATTCATCACTTCTGGGGTCACTTCTGGTGTCAGAATTCAAATTTTACCTCCACATTTAACTCTAATTTCCTACAGTAACTAAGGGGGGAAAATCTCTGGTTAAACTCAGCCATTCTAGAACCTTCCAAAAAGTTCCTATGTATGTTTACATTCATGTCCCATTAATCCTGATTGAACACCTACCCTCTGATTTGTGTTTAATCAGTGTTAATGATGAGTTCAGTGTGCTGTTGAATTGAACTGACAAGTTTGGTAAGAAAATTAAGAGTGTAAACAAAATTGCTAGTGACAGATTAAAGAGACATAACTGTTTTCAGGCACTTTTTGGCCCTTCAGATGCACTTGCCACAGTGGTAGGCTAATTTAAATCACACCTACTTGATAATTAAGGGTAGGATTGATAAAGGTCTCTTGGGGGAAGTTTTTATTACCCTAGTTTATTGCTGGAGACACCTGAAAGTTCTCTTCAGAAATAATATGCATTTTAGACTGTTCTCCATTCCAGCCTGAATTTTACCCACTTGGACTGAGTTGAGAAATTTTTAATGACATGTTATAAGTCATAACTTGTAATACAGTCTGATTTTTTCTAAATTCTTGATAATGGAGCAGTACATAGCTAGACTTAGAGGAAGGGCAGTTTTAACTCAAACTTTGTCAACCACGTTGTCTTAAATATACAAAGAGAGCAGAAACAAATTTTCACATATAATAAGCTCAAAAGAACTTAAGAACCACTAAGCATTTTTGAAAAATTTACTTAAATACTCTGATGAATGAAAAGCTGTATCAAAAATTAAAAACTTAGAATTTGTAAATGGCAGTTTAAAATGACTGGTTTTTTTGTTTTGTTTTATTTTTGGTCCTGCTAAGGAAAAATATCTGAAGTTTGGAGAAGAATATTTGCATATTTCACTGTAGCATTTATTTATATTAAAGAAAAAATAAAAACAACCTAAAAGTCAAATCTGTATGTTAGACTTCTATGTAGTGTGAAAAGAAATGTTAAATAACATAAGAAAAAGATACATAACAGTGTTAAAGGAAAATAAAATATAAACTTATATTCTCAGATCTATGTATATAATTATATTTATTCTAAAGTAATTATTTCAACCATGCCTTTAAAAAGACTAGAACAAAACTCAGGCAGTATTTTACCAATAATTGTTTCTAGTAGTAGAATTATGGAACACTTTTTCTGATTCCTTGTATTTTTCTATACTGGGCAGTTTTTCTGTAATGATCAGGTTTTACTATTACAATTGGATAAAAAAAAATACTGGAGATTTTCAAAAACTGAGTAGAAAATATGAGGCAAAGATAATATATCTTTTTACATCAAGTCCCTTTTCCTTAAACAGCAATCATTAGACTCAGACATAAAATATGTATGCCCAGAAATTAAACTTTCCCACATAGTAGGAAAACCAATGGGTAATTCTTGAATAATTTTAAGCGGTGGCTGGGTGTTCGATTGGGAGTGGTGGTTCACCATTAGTCTCCTTTTTCTTAACTTTTCTCAACTCTTATGTTTTCGCCTCTTTCAGGAGCAGTACCGTTTCTGCTATGATGTTGCTTTGGAGTACCTGGAATCTTCTTAGTTGGCTGAGATCTCGGAGTATGTCCATGCAGAAGCCCGTTCATCTGTTGAGCCAGCAGCTGTTGTACCTGTTACACCTCTGCAGAAAGATTTTAATGTGGGGGGTGGGAGGCTTTTACATTCGAGAAGTAAAAGTATTTTTCTTACGAAGTTGTGTATCTTAATAAAAAGGACTCAATTAGTTTCTATTACTGTACGAAAGCATCAACATTTCGTGCCACATAAATTATATTTAATAAGAACAGATTCAAATGAGAACTTATTAGTGTTTGTACAGTGAATATGCAGCTTTTTCTCGCCTGGTTCTGGTAGAACAACCACCACACGTTGCATGAATTAACAAATTTCTATGTGGCATTTTTCTCCCTTTTTTTTAGATAAAAGATGTTAACTCTTTAAGGAGGAAGTAAGAAAAGCTGTGCAAATTCATAGTAAAGTTCATTTTTTATATGTTTCCAGTGTAGCAGATCTCTATAAATATATAAATATATATAACTGGCTTATTTTCTTTTGATGTGCAATGGTAGCTGGATCATTTAAAGTTCTTTTTAGAAAAAAAAAAAACATAAGCCAAAGACTCAAGTGTAAATATGTCTATATGGAGAAAGCACATTATATTTATTGGTTACTTACATTCCTTTTTTGATGGCTAAAATACTACCACCACACAATCATTTCTTTTCTGAAGAAAGCTTTTTCTTTCACTAAAATCAATTGTAAACGATTTTTGTAGATTATTTTTTGTATGTTTTAGTGTAAGTAGAGGATAAACTTTTTATTCATAAACCAGGAAACGATGTTCTTTATAGTGATTCTCTTGTGTACATGCTTGTGAATTAAACTTATGTAAAACACCTTGGCAATTGGGTCTTTTAATATAGGACCAAATTAAAACATTTTGCTGAAGATGTGTAATTTTTCACAATTTCATTAGGTAAATAATGGTTTGGTGATCATACATGAGAATTGCAAACATTCAAGGGCCTTGCTGATGACTTGCGCAATGCTGAACATCCCTTTAAGCATCGTTTAAATTTTAAAGGAATTGATTTTGTTAGCCTGTGAGCAAGCACTGGTCAAGAAAACAAAATGGCAACGTTTATGCTTTCAGAGTCAAATTTTAGCAAACTGTAAACCATCAAGATGATAGAGTGTTTCTTTTGATACTTACATGCACAAGCTTTGGGTTCTGACCATAGGAAGTGTGAACAAATCGATGCCAGATTCCTGTTTGTGCATTGTCATGGGATTTGCAAGTGAACCTTTCTAAATGTGGTCTTGTTCATATGCTCCATGTAGCTGTAACTTCACATCGTCAGCTTGCAGTTTGTTATTGACTAAAGCATTCCAGTATACTCCCCCTAGATTGCCAGTACATGACATGGTGCTTAGAAAGATTTAACTAAAGTAAGAGTGAAATAAAGTTTTTATAATTACAACAATTGTTTGCACATATTTTCTCTTAACTTCCATGCCTTCATTCCCAAATAAATAGCCTCTTCTCACTGATACTAGTAGACCCCAAAAATTCTATTAAAAGTAAAATGAATGTCCAAGCACTAATACCTTTTTTTTTTAATTGAATATCAGCCAGTCCAGATAAATGGAGGGGGAAAAGGCCAGAAGATTTTAGTTGCTATATATGTACGTCACTATCTTTTTACGTAATACACATTTTCATACTTCTTCCTTATAGCAAACTTGACAAGTAAGTATCATTCCTGTCTTATAGATGTTGCAGTTGAAGCTAATGAGAAAGTAAATGATTTGTCAACAGATTCAAATCTGAGTCTGATTTAGCAGTTCATTCTCTTCCACTAAACGCACTGCTTCCCCCAATGGCATGACAAAATTTGGCACTTCATTCTTATTGTTCCTCATTAATTGATTTTCTCATAAAGTCTCATTATGGGTATCTTCAAACTTCCATTCACTGTGTACATTATTAGAACATTTGTGACTTTCATTAGTAAGAATTTAGATAGGGACTTTATCTTTTCCTAGAAAGACGAATTTACATTTAAACATGGATGCATTTAACAAAAAATCCACAAGCTCCTCCCAGATTTCTTTACCCAATCATGTTTAGGATGTTAATCCCACGGAGGATTCTGCTTTGCTGCACGACCTTAATTTCATTTCTACTCACCCGATTGTGTCCACACTCCACCAAAATCACCGTAAATACTACTGTTCACGAAGTTCAGAGGTCCGTGTGGCCTCCAAAATTTAAGCGAAGAACAGAAAGAGTCCTCTTTCTCTCTGACAGGAAATAGTGCTGTGCTTGCTTTACTGGGGACACCACAGAGGCCATTTCGTCAGGAGACAATGGGGGTAGGTATAAATCTGTTTTTCTCAAAACTCCTATTCAGAAAGCCGTTCTTAGTACCCAGTGGCACTCCCTGAGTCGTCCTGTGCTTGGATGGTCACATTCCACTCAGCTGTGTCCCTCTAGGCAGGTGATGTCCTGGCACCACTTTTAAAATTTGTCATGCTTTTCACAATGAAAGGCTTCTTATCTATCAATTATTCCTTGAATGGCTGTCATGAAGTTGAACTTTATACATCTCCTTCCTAGATATGATCACTAAGGAAATGCTGGAAGCATGTGGACCAGAGACATACAAGCCACTGGGAATTTAGGAGTTTTAACAAAGTCCTCTTGAAAATAAGTGCTAAGCGTCTGGTCTAAGCTGTGTAGCCTCTTTCTAGTATTTGGTCTTTGGAGAAAGGTTTTCATGTGAATGCTATATCACAACCAAATGGTCTGACATTGAGAGAGAAAAAAAATCTGCCTGGACAAGGACGGAGAAGAGACATGTTTACCCCTATACTGATGTGCCTATGTGCTCATTCAATACTCCCATTATTGAGAATCTCCTGGGTTCCAGGTACTCGTATAATAAGCTTGGAAGGCAGACATCAACAGCTGCTCCCTCTCAAATCTGCTCTGTTACTAGAAAATGGTGGAAAGAAGCTCCTGGCATCTAAAAAACATAGCAGACAATGAGAAATATTAGAATGCAGGAGAGAAATGACTGTAGCTCAACAAGAAATATGAGGTAATCTGTTAGCTTTGGAAGAATGCCTTTGAGATTTGCCTAACCTACATAGGAGAGTGACAATACTACATTTTTAATTTAATTTCTGTGCACTTCAGCAAGCAGTCCTTTTTCATAACAAAATAGCCAAAAGTCAATATTCTGCCCCATATCCCAGTGCAATATGTAAAATATTTATAAAATATTTCCATAGACAGAAACTCCATAGCCTACCTAGATGCATTTCAGTGTTTTAGTAAACACCCCCATTCAATGTAGGGACAACATGCTATTTTACACAACACTTTCCTAAGTGAAGACAGAAGACTGCCAGCTGTGTCTCCTGTGATAATTCCTACTTACATATTATTTCATAAAGTTTCCCCACAGCTTAGGGAGGCTCGGAATGGAAGCAATATTATCTGAATTTGTTCATAACTCTAGTCTATTCAAGTGGTCTGCAGAGTATTAGAATATTATCTCTCTGAAACTAAAAGGAAAACTCTGTCTTGGGATCTACTTTAAGTAAGCTGTAAGTGGCTTCTGGAATATAAATTGTCCAAAAATCAATGATGGTAGATCTATAACACTTATGAACTTCAGCTTCCTCCAAAGTGAATTGAAATGCTAACCTGGAAGAAAACAAACACCAGAGAGATACTGTTGTTATCAAATCCTGTAAGAAACCAGTAGAAGGGGTTTCTAAACCATTGAAGCAAACATGAAGTCCCTACTGGGGATCAGAAAGCCCCTTTTTTAATGTTAAAGTCGGCTTGGGGAGAGAGATTTTGCAACAGATACCATCTCTCATGATATATTTTCCAATTGTAGGAAATCTACATGAAATCTAACAATACTGAGTGCTGATTCTGATGTGTAATTGTCTTACAAGTCTTAGAGACTTATTAGTCTTACAAGCTTATTAGACTTGATTCACTTAGAAGATATGTAGCATGGAGGCCAAAAAAAATTTTTTTTTAAACCTTTCAGTACTTAAATGCAATCTAAGTAGATACAGAATATGAAGAACAAGAATATTTAAACTGAGTGACCAGAGTTCTTTTCTTAAATGGACGTTAGAATGTGCGGACAAGCAAAGGCCATACATTACCACTATTTGCCTGGTCTCAGACAAAATCAAACTGGGAAGGTAGAAAAAATAAGATCACTATGGCATTCATTTGTTATTTGTTGAGAAAGAGGAGAGGCAAATTCAAATGCCTGCATGGCCAAATGGACACTGAGTGGGGAAAGCAGGACAGGTATTTCAGAATGGCCATTCAGATTGTAGTATAACAAACAATAAATCTGTTTTTCTCAAAACTCCTATTCAGAAAGTCATTCTTAGTACCTGGTGGCACTCCCTGAGTGGTCCTGTGCTTGGATGGCCACATTCCACTCAGCTGTGTTCTTCTGGGCAGGTGATGTCCTGGCACCACTTTTAAAATTTGTCATGCTTTTCACAGTGACATCCTTTGACCCACAATGAATTTCACAGGGACATCCTTAGTTTATGCATTTTCTAATAGGATTATTTCTCATCTCTACAAAAATATATCTCCCATTTTTGTTAAAACAATATCCCAGTGCACCTGGCTGGTTCAGTTGCTGGAACGTGCGACTCTTGACCTTGGGGTTATAAGTTTGAGCCCCACACTGGGTGTAGAGATTACTTAAAAAAATAAAATCTTAAAGAAAAAATTTCCCCAATTTTACATTTTCTCAATTTTGGTTGAAAAATGGATACTAGAGATACTCTGCCATCTTCAGTTCTTACTATTAAAAAACACAGTAACAAGATTAATGATAGGTGACAACTGCTGTTTGATACGGGAAGCAGAGGAGCAATGTGAGGAGGCCAACTCCCACTTGGACTCAAAAGCAAGTGTGATGCCCAAAGAGAATGGCACTTACCTCCCAGCAGTCTTTGCTGCATGGGAATATGGACCCAACAGTCTCTCATCTCTCATGAGTGTGGAACTCTGCATTTTTATGTAAACTCTTAAAGACTGTTGAATGTTAGCAACCAAATTCAAAAGCAAACAACAACAACAACAACAAACCCTCTGGCCCAACCCTGTGCAAAAAAAAAAAAAAACCCTGTCAGAAGGCTGCATCTGATGTGGTCTGTAAGAGA